CATTCTTTAAAAAAACACGCATATACGAATCAAAACATAGTATTCTTTGCCTAAATATGTATACATGGCTATCTGTTCTATAGCGGAGGACCACATTTTGCTGGTGGTAGGCAGCCGACCTCTATACATGCCCTGTTGTATCTGAATACAAACGTTATCGCGCGATTTGTGGAAATCCTCGCCAATCCCGTTGCTCTCTGATCAGTTGCTTTTTCATTGCTTGGATTATCTTGTTTTCCACTCCGACGCCGAGCACTTAAATCGACTACAAAAATCCTCCACTTGGGATTTTCTGAATAAAAAATTCCTCGTGCTTTTGTTTGTTGCATGATGCTCACGATTCTTTGAGGAAGCTTAACTGGATAATTGATTTAATTTTTTAAGGTTGACGAAAACAAAAGTGCACACTCGCTATTAAATTCTTGTCAGCTGATGTTATCGTTTTTATCAGTGAGGACTGGGCAGAATTAGGCATCGGAGAATCTTATTCCGGAATTCCCGGAACTCTGGCCTTTCGTACTCGTTGCCGTATTATAATATTTGTTTACAACTTTGGCTTTACTTGTCGAGAGTTTGGATAAGTTTGAGAACTAACCTAGGCATAGGTAACGTCAACACAAACCATATATGGCAGAATGAAACTTGCCCGTTGCCGTAACTTGCCAGGCCACTAACATACGTACATTGCGACACATATGAATTTCCTCTATCAACAAAACTGCTTTAACTTGTATAGAAGCTTGGGAAATTTGATCAGAACTTGACAAACAATACATCAGACTCCAGTTTATCGTCAGCTATACTGAGTTGCGCGAAATATAAATCTGAGTTGATGGCTTTTAGCTATCGTCGATACCCATCGTTGTGTCGCTGCAAAATTCCATGGGTTTCATCATAAAGTTGAAAACTATTCCGTAAAGATTGCCCGTACAGCCGATAGTAAAGGATCTCTGAGCGAAAAAGATGCTACTTTTTTAAGGTGTCGACATTTTACCGATTCCTATTTTTATTCAAATATTACTCCTATTATGTCGTCAAAAGTTTTCAAATTGAAACCTGTCATGTTAAAGCAGAGTTGAGATTGGATCGTTTGCCGTTCGAGATTTTTGCACCTTAATTACTTGTTATCATAAGTTTTTTATGAAATTAATTTTGTTTAAGATGATGCATACTTCTTTATTATTGTATTTCAATTAGTTCTCATATTGTACTATAGTTATCGAACGTTCAGTTCATTTAATTTTCAAAAGTACCTAAGAAATTCGTTGTTAATTGACACGCTGATCCATTTCTTTGACAACATGTTTCCAGTCCAGTCTATCTTTCTCTATAAATTTGTGACTTATTTTCAAGTCTACCAGAATCTTTGAACGTTATCGTATATTTCTACACTTCGCAGATTATTCTAAAGAGTTAGTATAGTCTAAGTGCGTGACTTATTTTTTTACCATTTACCACACAAGTGCTGGCTTTAAGGGAACTGAGTTGCGTTTTAAAATTTCGTTCTCGTGGCATCTATCAATATTGATGATGGTACAGACCCTATGAGCTCCAGAAGACAATTTGCGTGCGCGTTATGGAGGCCATTGCCTTGCATTCACTGCCCCTGTAGTGTATTGCAGATACCTTGTCTGCTTTGACACTGCTTGTCTCCACATCTTGCTTGATCATTCCATCTGCGTTGTGAGAAGTACTCTGTATTATGAGTGTTTTTGAGCACAACGGAGTTCTTATATCCAATATCCAAGAAGCAGCAGGTTAATGAGCTTAATATTACATGAACTTCATGAACATTTCTTGCTGCTTCTATTTATTCCCTCGTGCATCAAGTTTTCACTCTGTTCCCCGTCGTGCTATCTGTGTATGCGATTTCTTCTTCAATTATGTTTTGATCGTATTTTTCATTACCCACGGAATAGGGCGCGCCTCTTTATATTTGTTGCTTATTCTATGCATCAAAAAATCGCACTTGGAAGGCTTTTAAAAAGCTGATTATTAGTCGAATTTTTGCGTCTTCCTGCGGTCAACTCATTACAGCGCGTCTCAGGCCTATCATTCTTTCTTGTGCCGCACCTGCCAAACTTTGCGGTCGAGTTTCTCTGAACTTTTTTATAACTTCCCTCTTGATGAAAACTGAAGGGGTGCTTCGACCGTTCTCGCATTGCCTCCTTATATTGCATTGTGTTGAAACTTTCAGTTCCCTGCTTCATAAAGTGCTTTTTATTTTTTTAAATCCAAATCGTTGCGGTTGACGTTGATAATCATTTCTGTTTACAGTTTAGTAGTGAATTTTCGTAAATGACATTGTTCTATATTGGTGGAAAATAGTTGGATCTAACGATTGCGATAGTTGATTAATATCGTGCGCTGAAGAATGATGGACTTATATTTTTTATATTTTGCTGTCCATTCTACGCATCTAGGTCATTTAAAAACCGAGTTATGAAGGGTCGTTGATACGATACATTTCATAGTATTACAGTATAACCAGCTGCAATGCTAACATAAATGATTTATCCACTACCTCAAATTTTATTCAGGAATCGGGGTGAGCAATCTCATCCTGACTCAGTTTGGCGCGGCATGACTGGTTCTGAAGCTCTGGTTTTATTTGTGTCTCTTCAACCCTATTCCAAAATAAAAATAATTGGTAGAGCATCGATGATTATTGGTGACTAGGTAAAAATTATAGGTGTAGCACCTGTGGCGCATCGATGGCTTGTTTGGCCCGAAGTTCTACCTATAACCTGCCAATGGCAACCCTAACCTAAAATATCATTTCCACCAATAACTACCCTGGCTGAAGATGGCGTATCGATGAGCTATCGATGACCGCCTCTAAAATAAAGTCGCTAACATTTTTTCTGTGTTTTAAATACGATGTATTTGCGTTTACTAATATTTCTTCATACCATCACATATTCTGGGGACTATTTTACACATTCAACATGGCTGAGCCATCAACAATTTCAGACAAGTAACAGGAACAAATATACACATACTTCGTGAGTACCGTAATCGACTTGAAGTAAAGTCCCTGCCTGCTGAAATCGAACTCAGGTCTCCGTCGCGCGAAGCTAATTGCTTCTACCGTTGATCTATGGAAGAGGACTTAGCGCTCGAGTCATTTTAAGAGACTAAATTGAAGTATTGTAAGTGTAAATTCATCAAATGACAGAAGTAAAAGCTACTACCGTGATGATTAGACGGTGTCATTAACCACTTTATATGAACAAGCTGCTATATTCCAGTAAACGTAATGAACAATTATTCAGATCAGAGTAGCGGGTACGATAAATGCTTGATAAGTATCGAAGATTCTTAATGTGAGCATTATGTCAATTTTGGCAGAGGATCGATTCGAAATATTTTCGCCAAGAATATTATTGCATGAAAAAAGAAATTGATATCACTTGATGCCTATGAAATGTTGGGCGTGAAATACTTTCACCAGTCCGTGTCAATATTTTTTCTCTACCCTAATCTATAATTTTTTAAGTTGGAAGGATACTGAGTCATCTTTTTTAGAAATGTAGACTTGAGCTTAAATAGTTATCCTGCCATATGCGCAAATTTCTCATAGATAAATAGATTTAACAATGGAAGTCAGAAATAGTAAACTGAATTTTCATTCGTTAATAGGCTAATTTTTGATGAACAACCTACTCTTATATTACATAATTACAAGCAGGACATAACAATGATAAGTTGGCAAGAAGCTCGATGCCCACAATCCTCTACTCTAGTCCCTTAATTCAGCGCTTTAGAAATACCAACTTCGGCAACGTAGCTTTAGGTAAATGAAGAAACTTGAGAATATCCTAAAATAGACTTAGTCGATCCATGTAATTCACAATTAATGATACAATAAATTTGTCTCAATTGATCACAAGATTTCAAACACAGCAAGTTTATGCTTACGCAAAATTCGCAACAAATTTATGCACTATATCGGATGAGCATGAAAAATAAGATTCACCATCACTAAAATTTCAGTTGTCCCTCGAAAAATTTATATCAGGAGCAGTCTGATACATGTACAACAAGTGGCTTTACTTTGGCTCGAAAATTTTGTGAACGCTTTCCATCTGTCTGTCAGTTATACTCGTACCTACCAATACACGGTAAATTTACTTGAATCAATATACCTTAAAAGCCAACCACACAGAACGAGGTCATACGGCTTGATCTCGAATGCCCCGCAACCCAAGAATTTCGGTCTTCTGTTGGATAAATTACAGTGGCCAATTACTTCGTACACTGCGCAGTTTGGGCAAACGGTTATAGAGGCCTAATAAGAGATTAACCTGCGATGCGCCATCGATGATTCAGACCCTACAAATCATCCATGACCACCACCTATATTGGCAACCCTTTCGATTTATTGGTGTTTTACTGTCGATTTTTGGCAGATGTGGCCATCCACTGTTACGCCCCTATAATCTACCATTGTAATCTGTAATCAATGATGCGCCACCCTTAATATTAATTCGAATTGTCATCGCCTGCTTGTGTCCAGTTAATTTTCAGTAAATAGATTTTTCAGAAATATTGCTGCACTATGTTGCTGTAAATTCACCATTCAAATGTTTTACACGTTTCAATAAATTTCCCTTTAATCTCACTTACTCCATGTTTAACCCTTTTTTGATGTCCTGTAGCAAAGTTTCATAAATTTTCATGAAAATTTTCCATTATTGTCATTATTATATCATTAACTTTCGATATCTTATTACTTATTTGTAAAAAAACGTATGCTCAGGAACTTGTGGCTCTGGGGTCGGACTATCAAAAATAATTACGAGTTTGTAACTCCGTCAGCCAATCACTGACGGCCCTTTAAGCTAATCCCACCAATCACAGACGAGTATTCGACCGCTACATGTACCTAAGCAACTTAAGTACACATAGTACCTATAATGTACCAATAGTACGCCCCCAGACGTGTAATTATTTGCAATATTCGTTGTATTTCTGACCTTATTTCCGTTTCATTGCAGGAATTCGCAACGCTGACGAAGGAGCTGAGCACAGCTCGCGAGAACCTGTTGGAGCGCGATGAGGAGATCAACGAGCTCAAAGCTGAGCGCAACAACACCAGGGTAAGTGCGCTAATTGAGCTCATGAGTTGTGATAACAAACTGTGAAAATGGAGTCACAGTTCCAAACTCCATCAAAGTTTGCCTATAATCGATCAAAGTTACTGAAGTGCGCTAGTCAAGTTATGGTGTTGGACGAGAACTATTTAAGTTTGGAAATGAAAATAATCAAAGTTACTGGGTGTAAAAAGTATGGGATGGTAATGGGAAATTGAAGCAATGCGGTCTGATTCTATAGGCATGACATTGACATCAAAACTTAATATCTGACTCTGATTTAACGAAGCATTTAATCTGAGCATGATAGGATATAAGGATTTGTCGTTTGCATCCAGAGCTAAAATAGCTTCTATACTGTGACGCTAACATCCGATCGACCAATGATCGCATGTGTCGCCAGATTCATAGAAACTTTTTGTTACGAATAGTATAGTATATGGTGTCTTAGAATTTAATAATTGAAACAATGAAGAAACTCCAAATATGTATAACATACGAGCTATATATATAAGCTTCCAATTTGAGTAAGAAAATCGAAAGTTCTTCCATATATTGCCACAAATTAACATAACACAAGCTGCTCTCCTCTTATTCACTCCATATATACCTACCAAAATCTACCAAAAATCTAACGTATAAGCTTCTAAATTGGTTGGTAAATGATGTCAATATTATTGATAATGTTGAAGTTAATAGTTAATGAGCTAATTCAGCACAGCTTTTATGTTTTTACGCTAGTGTTTTTTCTCTTTTATATGCTCGCTCATTCCACTCTCTTCAACAACTAATCAACTGATAGAACCATGAATCAACAATTCAACATCTAATTGGATTGTTAGTCTATGCGAGGGTTGCAGCATTCCGTTATCAGGCTGCAAGCCCGGTTGAAATTAGTACAGCGTTGGCACATATACCGGCAGTCAACCACTCATTGGTCTTCTATTAACCACAAATGATTTCGAACAGTGAAGCATTTTGCTGGTGACGTAGACAAGATAATAGAGTTAGCTGACATCGCTTTAAATAAGTGAATATAGTTCATCTTCTCAGGTGACCATTGGGCTGACAGGTCTGTTGCGCCTCATGAAATATTTATGTTTAAACCTCTGACTCTAATTCAAATTACAATGCCTTTGGATGCGGTCAACATTGAATACTGTGAAGTTCGTTGAATTATACTTTTAGGTAAGGTTTTACGATTGACATTGATTGCGTCGTGAATCATTTTGTCATTGTATATACGCAAGATAAATTAGCAATTGCTCCTGCTCTTTCGATTTTTGGTTATTATGGATCAGTTAAGTTGAAGTACATTTCCACCTTAGAGTTTGATTTGTGTGACATGCATCGCATGCGTGCTATGTTTCATTATCATGCGTCTTATAACTCCTGTGATATTCAGGACGCTGGGTGCTCGTCTCAATTAGTCGTTCAGACGATGTAGGTATTATGTCATGCTGTCAACAGACATGGCCCTAGAGTGGCTTGTATTAATGCTGGAAATAGAGGCGCCTCATCACAGGCCAACTATCTTGAGCCATCTATATTGACCGGCCTTCATTTACGCAATGCATTGCTGCTTTGTTGTGGAGCAGACAGTTGTTATTCGCACAAGTCTGTTCCTTGTTGGCAGTCAAGCGTCGGCTTTTGTGAAGCTTTGGCCGGTGTTGTGGGCATGCAATTTCATTCTTTTATCGATTGCCGATTGTCGAGCATGACAGTCCCAAATGATTCGTTCTCGCTGCGACTTATATGCCATAATGACAAGATGTGACACGAAACGAACGTTGTGCCCTTGAAGAGTCTTTACGTGTATTGCGAGTTGGACTGGCGATGGACTGAGAACGGTGATGGCTAACTAGATTGTTGCAGCACTACCTTGTTGAGCTTGGATGTTATGTAGTAATAATATAACTTGGTACAGACGGCACAGTGTTCATTACCACTCTTAAATTTTCCATTTCATGTCCTCATATTGTTGAAAGCTAGCAAAGCAGGCGTAAGCTCATGGCATTAGAAACAAATCCTCCTTCTGAATTACTCAGATTCCTTCGCTCTCTGATTATTATTATTATTGTTATTACCTGCAGTAAAGGTTATTGCCTGTGGAACTTACTCCATGCGTCTTTAAGCCTGGAAATAAATTTTTGACTCGCGCTGCTACTTGCATCGTTTTTTGTCCGCCGGCCGTAAAGAAGTCGAGTATTAGCCCGCGTATTTTTATCTTGTGGGGGCTTACGGAGCGGCGCGTCACGTATTTCAACGCACCCCTTCCTCCTGTACCCTCTTGCGCAACCTGATAACGAGCAAACTGCAGGGGCCATACTTTCAAAATTCGCTAAGTGAACGTAAATACTTACGCTCTATTTTCTTGTCTATGAAACTTTTTTTGAAAGTATAGGCCCACTGGTGCATAAACTTGCCCCCAATACCCCCCAAAAAAATGCGTCGAAATTTGTACAGTTTCTTGGATTGAAAATAGTTTTATACCTGACAAAGTTGCTTTCAGATTTATTTGCAAAAAAAACTTTCATCCTAAAATCTTAGGTAAAATTATAAGAACACTCAATTTTTTCTCAGCGTTTTCATTAGCTGCTGCTCACCAATATGAATTTAAATGTATATAATATATGCATTTATTGTGTATCTCCTTATGTGGCTTTGGTAAAATTGAAAAAAAATCGGACGGCAGAACCAATCGAATAAATTGTCATGAACAGTCATGATAGTCAAACTCTCATGATCTGGTCACCTTCATGTACTAACAACTTGGATTCGAATTTAGATCATGAGTATAAACTTCTCACTTCACAATCCAAGCAATCTAATGAATAAAGCAAAACTGTAGTTCTCTCGATTCAAGTCTGAGGGTGAGCATGTAGTAAACATGAGTGACTTCAAGCCGTGGCCAATGCGCTTTATACCTTTGGGCTCCCGAGGCTGCCGCAGTCGCGTATGCAAATTACGTTAGTGCTGCCATGGCGCAACGATCATAAACTCGACATGCTTTCGGCGTCGTTCTTAACTGGGCGGCTGATGCTTGCTATGGGCACACAACTTGCGGCGAGGCTACCAAGGCAATCGCATCAATATCTCAGCTGCCGCATGCATGGGATATTGTAGCACAGTTGGGCAGCTTCCTGCTGTGATTGTTTCATTCTAGTGTGGCAAAGATGTCTGGAATTCCGAATTGAGCCAAGAGTCGAGTGTGACTTTCTAATTCACTAGAAATTACTTCATTGAATACTACCTCACTTTTTTAGTTTCGTAAAATATTTGGAATCTGTTTCTACTTCACTGATGTTGCGGGTGTTGTTCTATCTAATCTCATTTCTTCCAACTTTTAAAAGCTCATTTCTAAGCTTCCAACTTCCAAAGCTCATTTCTTCAAACTTTTACAAGTAGAAAAGTATATAAAATTCAAAGTACTTATTGCTTAAAATATGATGTAATTTTATGAAGATACGCGCCAGTGAGCGTTTGTTCTTAATCGCCTACTATGTTTTTGTACTTATAGGCTTTAGACTAAGGGTTAACCTCAGAACCCCTTTTGAAACTATAAGCGACTGTATGTATTTTTTTTAGCCTTTTCACTCTACTTTGATATCTAAGCAAAAGAGAAGGGCTTTCTTTCTGGCGTTACCTCGAGCTAACTGGTCGATCTCCATTTAAATGATGCGTATTTCATTTAGCATGAGGCACGTATTCGCGGTCCCATTGTTATTTTGCCAAAAAACCTTTGCTATCAAAATTGGTTTCGAGTTTTTAGCTCCATCAGCCAATCACTAACGACATTTCAAGCTAAACCCACAAATCACAGACGATAAAATTACGGTTACGTGTACTTGAACGAGTTTTATGGCACAGTCCCAGATTTGCAATTTCTGGAAGTCCACGATGCTACCGCTTGCGTGATATTTTGTTTTGTTTGCTGCTGTCGGTACGTGAGTTTTCAGTCAGTATGGGTTTCAGTCAGTTGCAGTTCGTCTTATGTTGCCTCTGTGATTCGATTCAAATTGGCGCTTTTAATTCGAATATTTTACTTTATTGTTGGTTTGCACATGGGCTAGTTTTGACGTGGCGTTCCATCACGTTCTTAGGGTTCTTCTCTTCTAATGTTATTATTGTCCGTGCTTGCTGCAAAAATATTAAGAGCCTATATGAAATAAGTCATTCGTATCGAATTCATTGTCCAAAAATTTTTACCTGTCGAGGGCGCGAAGCCTCTTTTTTCAGTCATTCGATGTTTTAACGAAAATATGTACGAGTAAATTTCTTCGATCTATATGTTTCAAAAATTTATTTAGCTATGTTGAAATTTACTTTTAACTATTATCACTCGGTTCTGCTCTGAAATTTTCAGTGATTATTTTCTGGTTCTTAATTAAGAAAGCTCTTTCCCAAATTAAATCTGATCTCACGCTCTGTAATTGACAAGTTTTTTCCTCGTCGGTAATATTTGTAATCGGGATATATTCGATGTGCCAGCTCAATTATTTGTTATAAAAGTTTGAACGTGTTGTGTAACCATTTTTTTTCTTGAATTCTCATACTTTTCATGTTAAACAACTAATGTGATTGATGAACCCGCCGCTGCTGCTTCACTTCTCTAAATTTTAATCACGGGAGTAAAAATATCATTGCATTTTCTTTTACAATAATATATCTCTTATAATACATTAATATGTCTTGTATTATACATTGATATATCTCTTATTTTACATTAATTTATCTCTATATACAACACTTGCGCAGCTCATGATTTTCTCATCATTCTTACTTGCCCCCGATTTTTCCTTTCGCCAATTAAATAGTGGTATGTTCGTGTAGATCTTGTGCACTCACTTGAATCGTGAATTTTAAAATTAGATCCATTTTTAGTGTTTACATTAAAGTATTAGATGGTTTTACAACTGCTGCTGCATCACTTTGGGTGCCAGTTGCCGAAACTTGAGCGGTATAGTTGCTGCGGTGATCAAAAGACGATAATCTTATCGATCTTATTATTTTAAGTGTTTCAATTTATAATAATTCATTCATTAATTGAGTTATTGTATGGTTGTGCAGCTGCTGCTGGAGCACCTGGAGTGCCTGGTGTCACGACACGAGCGGTCATTACGCATGACAGTTGTTAAGAGACAAGCAGCGTCACAGTCCGGCGTGTCGTCGGAGGTCGAGGTGCTCAAGGCTCTCAAGTCGCTCTTCGAGCACCACAAGGCTCTCGACGAGAAGGTTTGTGTGTTTAATTTCTTTCTCTTACACATCTATACTAGTGAGAATTTTGTACACCATGCACAAGGCTCTCGACGAGAAGGTGTGTGCTTAATTTCCTTCTCTTACACGTCTATACTTGTGAGAATTTTGTACACCATGCACAAGGCTCTCGACGAGAAGGTGTGTGCTTAATTTCCTTCTTTCACACGTCTATACTTGTGAGAATTTTGTACACCATGTACAAAGCTCTCGACGAGAAGGTTGGTGCTTAATTTCCTTCTTTCACACGTCTATACTTGTGAGAATTTTGTACACCATGTACAAAGCTCTCGACGAGAAGGTGTGTGCCTAATTTCTTTCTCTTACACGTCTATGCTTGTGACAATTTTGTACACAAATTTCATCTTAGCTACCGAACTTTGACGTTTTTTGAGCACCACAAGGCTCTCGACGAGAAGGTATGTGCCTAATTTCTTTCTCTTACACGTCTATACGTGTAAGAATTTTATATATAAATTTCATTTTAGCTACTGAACTTTGACGTTATTTCGAGCAACACAGGGCTCTCGACGAGTAATTGTAGTGCTTATAATTTCCTTCTCTTGCAAGTCAATACTTGTGAGGATTTTGTACACAGATTTCATCTTAGCTACCGTACTTTAACGTTATTGTCAAAAAATGATTTAGGCGGCGCATGTAATCAAAACTCCACAGGAAATTTGTTCGTTATTGCAATGATTTTTGTTGTTTAGTTCTTCATCTCGGTAAGTATAGATTTTTTGTCTATATATAACTGAGCTGTATTAAGCCTTAGCAACAATTAATTCGGGACCATTTTTATGCTCCTAGTGGCATTGAACAAACGTTACTCATTGTTCAACTTTGGTATCTGAATCTATTAGGCTGTTTTGATTTTCAGCTATGAGATATTTGTATCAAGAACACCATTTACCCGTGACGTACTTTAGGTCGGGTTTGTTAACGGTTATTTTTATGTTATTTACACCCCTATTTAGCCGATTAACATTAATTATCTTATCCCAGTAATTTTAATTAGACTTACTTTCTTGACGTCGGTATTCGATGTGTGTTCGCCTGAAAGCTCGACTTCCCTAACAAAATTTAGAGTCGCCCCAGCTTCTGGTAAACCAAATCAGAAGCTGCCGCGTCTGTAAATTTTCACTGGGTTGGACCGTAGCAATAATAGTCTGCGGAGGCTCACGACTAGCTAGATTCTCAAATATTTCCTCGTTGGTCGCTGTAGCTCGATGATAGATTAATTTTTGATTTCTGTTAAGGCAGGGATGGTCCATAATTAATGAGGTAGCTTGAAGAGATCGATCGGGATCTCTAAGAGATCTAAATCGGTTCCTGAGGCAGAGAATCATCAATGTAATGTCGTATTATTACTCAATAAAGCAACATGCATGATAATTTGCTTCGCAATTAATAATGCGAACGTTAATTCCTTCGAAACAATGCCGATCCGTCATTTATTTGTGTAAGGTAATTAAGAAATATGTTGGAAAACAAATAGGCGGTTCAGTGACGGTGAAATCCGGATTTTATCAGACACTTCATCCGTCTCATGCTCATTAATTGACTTCTTTGATATTGTCAATTCAATAATAGAGAAAAGAATTAGATAATTAATTAGATAATTAGAATAGAGAAATTAATTATATAATGGTTTAATTTTTCTTGCAACTTTCAAAGCGAGTTATAGATCTTCGTTGATATTTATGTTTTTGTATGACGCTTGAAATCTCACAACGAATTGTTACAATGAAAATTCAGATAAAAGTTTAGATGGTTTTAAATAATTAATAATAAAGAGGAGAAATTCGATTAAATTTACACAGAAAAAATACCAAAATTCTGAATTAGTTTGTCCTAACACTTTGAACAACATAAAATATGGTTTTTCCAAAGTTTCGCCTCTGGAAAGTTGTTTTGTTTGTTGATCCTAATTTGGTCGCGTGTCGAAATGAACGATAGTTCAATGATTCTGTTCAACGTTTTTTTCGCGCCGTTGTGCATGCAGAGAAACTTTCCTACACCAGGACAATCGTAGAATGTTACCTACGGGTAAAGTTGCACTTCTTCTAAACTTGTGCTTCGTGTTTCGACCTCGAATCTGTATGTGATAAGCAGTTCCAGCGCCCGATATGGGCACCGACGTGAAATTTACTTAATGGAGTCGCGCTTGTTTTGTGGGGCATGCCGCCTATAGCCATGGCCCCTTAATTATCGTTTGCGGAGAAAAACTGCTCCCTAAGGATACTTGCGGCCACATCTTCATCGAGGATGTTACTGTGATCCACGATTTTCCTGTACTTTACGCGCTAGGTGCATACTCGACCCTCAAATGAACCTAACTCATAGTTGCCTTATCAAGAATTAAGGTATTATATATACTCCCGCTGATGGTTAAGCATGAATAAAATATTTTGAATAAAATTTGAAATTTTTTTGAGTGAATGAATTTTGAATAAAAACTGCTCAATAAAATTTTCACTTGAATTCCATTTTCATCAACGCATGTTTTGAATAATTTTACGAAAATACTCCTCATATTTTTTCTTGACTTTCACAGTAGATTTCTATCGCTTAGAAGTGGAAATATATGCATGGGTACTCCAATTATTTGAAAAAATAACCTGCAAGTAGGCCCTCATCATTTTCCACATTCCCACCAAGTTCTTGCTCATCCTCAACAGGGTGTTGTTGTAAGGGATTGGATAGGGTGTATATTTTTCATTTTGTTTTAAAGAGAGTTTGATAGCCATTTTGTTTGTTCATCTACGATCACTTGGCTGAACAAGGCAGGGACGAAGATGGCTTTATTTTCCTTTTTGTTTGGAGTGCGTCCCTAGTAACTTTCCCATTATTGATGTTACCATCTTTCAAGCATCAGTTTTGATAACGTTGCATTGATGTTATCGTTACAGTTTCATGAGCGATGTAGTTTACTTAACGTTTCAGTTCATCTGACGCTGCAATTTACTTGCCGCTTCAAAGTCCTTGGTGTTGCAGTTCACTATTCGTAGCAGCTTTGTTTGTGCTAAAGTTCGTTACTGTGGCATTGAGCGCAGTGTCTGGACGCATTACATCAATTTACTTAGGAATGTGCTGGAGGTGCTAGCCTTGTCTTGGACTAAATCTACACTCCTCCGTGTTGTCCTCTTTTCTCTGCAGGCTTTTTAATATTGAATATATTTGTGGGCATTGTTGGTTAGCTTGTGCAGACTTGAGTGTCGTATTAGTTCCTTGTGTTCATGCATTAGGAAATTTTCGTGGGCAATTAGTTTCTTATTCGTTGCTTGCCTAAGGACGAGCTTCTCTTCTTTACTAATGGTTGCTTGCAATTTAAAACTATTAATGCTTTCAAATTAATAAATTATTTGCATTTCATTCTTAAATATTGAATTAAATTGTTTTTTCTTCTACTTTGACTTTAATCTTAAATTTTATTTCTATGATATTACGTGGTATTTAAACCTTCAAGAACTACGGCAATTTACCTCGGGCAGCTGAAAAAATGTCCTCTAATTACATGTTCGAATAGGGTTTAGCGGTTACATAATGACAAATCAGTCGAGATATTTCCGTGAAGAAGGGTTCGAAATTAAAAGCATATTATTTCGAACTTTGAGGAGATTCTGACAAGATGATTTCATGGAATTCTCGCTTCCTATAAATGTGCGCAATTGCGTCGCTCTAGTTACTTTCTAGGGCTCAGAAGGATCATATACCACCAGTGTACTAGTAGCATTTAATGTCTAACAAGTATCTAATCATAGTGTGTCTTTGAATTATTATGGCTAATTGTTTACTGTGACCAGGTTCGAGAGCGGCTGAGGGTTTCCATCGAGCGATGCAGCGTTCTGGAGTCGGAGCTGTCACACACACGGGATGAGGTGAGTTCGATCTACTGTTATTGCTATTACTGTCACACATTGAATACGTTACGGATGTCTGTACGAGTTTATACACAAATGCGCTGTAAATCGTGGTTGTTTTCTTTGTGTATTCATAATTTTAAAATTTTTTCTTCTCTGGATGCATGACGATTTATTTATTCTACAATTGTATACACGATATCAGTATATATTATGTATAAAAGCTTGTATGTTGATATATAAAGTGAGGTGCATATCATGTCGTATGTATAAAAGTTTGTATATTCTAGCATAAAGTGAGGTGCATAGTATATCTTATGTATAAAAGCTTGTATATTGTAGCATAAAGTGAGGTGTATGTTACGCGCAGTTGTCGCACTACAAGATGGGCAAGGTGCCTGGCGACGGCGCTGAGAGCGACCGCATCAACGGCGAGACGGACATCATCGACGCCTCGTCCAGAGTCACTAATGGCTCCGCCCCAGACTCCGCTGCGGTAGGTCACTTCTTGTGCGCTGCATTTCAGCCATATTTCCTCTCCAAATAACAATTCCCAAATTATTAAAAACTATGCAAAATTTTTAATGGTATTAACGTTTACATTCGACATGGACTATTTTCTGTTCAGTCAAGTATGCAGTTTTACTGTTGTTTAGCTCAGAGAAACACAATGTCTGGGCAATGGAAAGCGAAAGCTTTCCATTGCAACCTAAATACTGTCGTAGAAATACCTTCTATCATGAAAACTCTAAATTCTTCAACGAAGACGAATAACTGCGATGCACAGTATATACTATTCTTCATAGTATATGACTTCTGATCTTTCATGTAACATTCATAGTGCAAATTTCTAATAAGGAAGCATCTCAATAATCATGCCATGAAACTGAAGATATTAAACTAATTTTATACGCTGCATTTAACTTTCAGCGTGTTTGCTTATTCCTACAGGTGATTAGTTTATCAATGTATTTGTTGTAAAAATAGACTGGTTGTTTCGCATCAATTACATTATTGAATAATATAAGCTGATTAGTTATACTATTTGAAAATAAGAACCCTTTTTTAAGGCATGCTCACTCTCTTGATCTACTATTCGGTATTTCATGATGAACTTTTTTGTATTGTGAGTAACATGCTCACTACTATAAGTATCGGTGAGTAAAATGGGTACTAATAAAAGTATTCGGTGAGTAATATGGGCACTACTATAAGTACTATTTCAAGCAAAATTTAAAGTTTGCAAATTTGTTTTACAATTGGTTAGTTCTCAGTAGTTTGGTGCATCCTGTCCCGTATTTCACGCTATCCTAAATCGTTGTAAAATTCTTGATTTAGTTTCCAATTGCAACCTATTTGTGTTTGATTGGCTTGACTTCTGAGAAATTTAAAACATTCACTTCCTCTTGGTGATTGAGTTCAGCTCTAAATTATTGTTATAAATAAATTATTACACTTCATTAAAGCATTCCTATCAATTGGTGATTAACTCTAAATGGTGATTTTCGCCTCTGTTCATTAGCGCCGAACTTCTATCGAGACGCAGCAATAAACTTTATTGCACTCCTTTAAATGCAACTATAAAAAAGTTCTGCCTCTACTCGAGTTACTGCGAGTTTACTTCGCTAAACTATATAGGATTAAGTAATTACGAACAACGAAGCGTTACGCACCGAAGTCCGATCTCGCCTTAATATGGAGGTTCTCATTTTCTTCATAAACTTAACTGATTTCGGCACTACTGCAAATAAAAGAAAGTTATTGCAAAAAACTTCTGTAACTACTTATACTGATTTGAGTGGTGTTTCGGCATTACTGCAAATAAAAGACAGTTATTACAAAAACTCCTGTAACTACTTATACTGATTTGAGTGGTGTTTTGGCATTACTGCAAATAAAAGAAAGTTATTGCAAAAAACTCCTGTAACTACTTATACTGATTTGAGTGGTGTTTCGGCATTACTGCAAATAAAAGAAAGTTATTGCAAAAAAAACTCTAATTACTTATACTGATTTGAGTGGTGGCTTATATGTGGCTTGGTGCGACAGCCTCTCGATGATAACGCGGCAGCGAACGGCAGCAGTGAAGCGTCGTACGCAGCGCTTCAAACCAAGTTTCGCGACACGCACACGTCGCTCGAGAAGCAGGTATCATTTCTCCTGCCGAGCTTGACTTTACTGCCAGTTTTTCATCATGCCCGCCACTCACGCTAATTTCATCTGCGATTATACATGTTTTCGTGCAAGATTTTAATCGACTATCGAATTATCAGACTATAGTTGTTTTGGGGAACATAATTTCTGTTTTATTTTCCGCAAGCTTATTTTTTTATTTGTGTTTAAAGTATGTTTTTGTTTTGAGAAAATGGTAAAATGTGTTGTTGATAACAACCATTTTATTATTTATAGTTTAAATTCACTGTTGCTTGTGCGAGTCACTTGCAGATATCATGCATCTTCCAGGCTGATCGATGGGCTTGTGGTTTATTTTAATCGTATCAATTCGAATGTTCATCTGATTGCTGCGTAGCCTAAACAATTTTTTATTATCATTAAAGTTAAAACACATTTCCGTTTCGATATTAATGGCTGATCTAATTCTTGCGCTATTTGGAACCTGATATTCTGAACCGAAAATTTAAGAAAATGCCTCCTCACGCAATTCTCGTATTAATAGTTTAACTATTTTGCTGTTAAGGCGTGCAAAATTGGTGAAAGTCATTCGCTCGAAATTTTTGGATCGTTCATAGAATTAACGTCGCGTTTCTCGTACTAGAGAAATTAACTCGTATTGATCTCATGCTACTTAGAATTATTACACTGCTAGAAAAAACGGTGAAAAACGGTCCCACCGGCATCCTAGTGGCCGGTCGCCCCGCAAAAATAAACTGTTTCGCCGTTTTTATCAGATGTTTTACGGATTCTGGTGTTAAATTGGAATAAAAACGGTGAAACGATGTTTCTTTTCACGTGCCGACCGGCCACTGAAACGCCGGTAATACCGTTAACGGTAATTTTTCTAACAGTATAGTTCGGAGCTGAAAATTCGTTGAACCATGTTAGCTAGGGTGGATTTTACTCCTTTCCTGCTCCTTTAACATATCTTATGCGACAGAAACTCCTTGTTATGAACTGAATTTATATGTGTGCCGTAGCATTTCAGTAAATATAATGAAAAAATAAACTAAAGATAACGGATGAATAGTGTAAGTTGCACAATTGGAAAAATAGTACAAATTAACCTAATGTACCTTTCGTAAAACCGAACATAAACTATGTTACTTGCATGCGATTAGTCTTTTTTTTTTCTTGCCAAGCAGAAGCATGTCTGTTGTCTTACTGTCCGTCTTTCTTCGTAGGTTGACACCTGTGTTTGTTGTGTTACCTGTCCTGTATTAAGAATTTGCCTAATGGATACTTATGAAATTTAGACAATAAATTCACATTCATACTGCTTTGACACCATACACGCTTGTTCCTGATTCATTCATATCATTAACCTAGTCATGTCAAACGGAACGTCCACTGCACGACTTATATCCTGCTGTTTCAATGCAAGATCGTATTGCCGTTGAATGCCTCTTTTCTCTCTGTTGGCTTGTGTGCTCAATTTGAACTGGGAAACATTTTCTCGCTGTGCTCGACATCTTTCAGTAAAATAGCAGACGGAATCATTTTCTTACTCGCCATCTGGATTGCATCTTGTGTTTTTACGAACAGTTTTTTGGACAGCTGAAGACTTTACCCAGCGTTGGATTTTGAGAGTCACCGAGGCCGAACTTAGAGGGATGAAAATCTTAGACTGTGGGTGTTCAGTAGTTATAAGTCATGAAGCTTAAAATAGTGTGTATTTAAATTTTACAAAATATATGTACAATTATTCGCATAAAAAATGTCCTTAACAATTTTTCATAGGGAACGGCGTAATTAATTCATATTTTTTCCTTCATTCTTTTTCACAGTTAAAACGCAGTTCATAATGAAAATTTTTTCGCTCGTTTAATTCGGTTGATCAGAGAACTCACCTCTATTTTAAATAAATAATTTAATTTTATTAGTTTCGTTCGATTGCGTGTTGAATTGTGTTACCCTGTTACTAGCCGATGTACTTGCACTTATTATTTTCGTTCTTTCTTTGACCAATTTTCTACATCATTACGTGGCACTTAATGTTTTCGCTGTTAATTAACACGATTTGTCTCTGTCTTTAATTACTACTTTTTTCCGGGCCATTGCTGGAAACATATTTTTTGTGATTGTATTTGGCACTACCTGTCCCTGCGCTATTGCATAAAGCGAATTTCCCCTATCATCATGAAAACGTATTAACTACATTTTAATTATCCGGGAAATAAACCAGATGATATTAATGACAACTGTCGTAAATGAGGTATGATCTTCAGGAGAATCAAAGAGTTTATTTATTTAACATTATTAGTATTAGCTGAAAGTATTTAAAGTTTAATGCCATTGACAGACAGTGGAGCTATCGGCTGCGAGGGAGCGGGTGCGGGAGCTGCAGAGTCGCCTGCAGGAGATGGAGGAGACGCTGCAGGTCACACAGAAGGAACTCATCAAGGCGCAGGACATCAATGCCAGACTGCAGCGTGATCTTAAGGTAAACATTAACGTTATATTCACGTAATCTTGTGTTAAAAATTAACGTAACATTCACGTAATCTTAAGTTAAACATTCACGTAATCTTGAGTTAAACATTCACGTAACATTGACGTAATCTTGAGTTGAACATTAACGTAACATTCACGTAATCTAAAGGGGTATTTATGTGGTTTTCCTGATTCTTTGGTCTAATTTATGTCTCTTTCGTGTTGTATATGAATTTAATTTTATAATGTTAGTTTTTATCTATTTATAAATGCTATGTAACTTGATAAATAGTGTTTCTTCGTGTTCAACTATCACTAGAGGGTGATGTGAACGAAGCGTTGGTAATTATGGCTTTATAATAGTTTATATTTTATTATTAAACATTGCCTATGTAAAGTTGTGAAGAAGGCCCGAGCAATGTTGAGCAATTATAGGCAGGATGTGACTTGGCCGCAGAAGTTGGAGTAGAAAAACCTCGAGTTTGTTTATAGTTGAGAATGGCCGAGGGTATCGAAAGGGCTGAACCTTGCGGAGCTCGAAACTGTCGCGGCGTGCCTTGCTAGGCTTATATGTGTGCGACGTCTGCCTGTGTAAGGACCTTAAAGTTCGCGCCAAAAGCTTGTTATACTGTGGTGACCGTCACGCCAATACGGTCTGCAGCTATCTTCGCTACGGCCCCGGCCGTCTGCCGGTGGGGTCAGAAATAACGGTCGTGCGGAACTTCGAGACGTTCATACCAGCAAGACTCCGATATAATAACGTCAGAAATATACGAGCACCGGCTGTAAGTTCGCTTGTTTGTACGGTCAACATTCATTGCTACGGTTGTGACTTGCCGGAAGACAGCACGAGAGACAACAAAGCCTTCAACGAGTATAAAGACGGCAATCAGAACATTAAAGAGCGAGCACTAAGCAAGCAAGAATTATCATCGGTACGGTCACGGTCAATGTCAGTAGCGGTACGGTCACGGTCACCAACAGCAGAAGTACGGTAATGAGCTTGGTATAACATCATCGACGATGCAGACTACGCCACTATTCAGAAGTACGATCGTGATAAAACAACCTACGGCCAGACTGACCGTGAGACATTTATATCTGTGAGACACGACGGCTCTAAATAAAGAAAAGAACGACCACAGGCAGCGAGGATGCGCAGCTACGGCTGCGGTATGGCCGCTGGAAATACGGCCGCAAACGTGCGCGTGAAGTACGGTCGTTTACGACAGTCGAACGACTAAACGTTTCAAATTTCGATAGTCGTACTACTTTGTTTCAAATTTTAATTACAATTGATCATTAAAGTTAAGTTATGAGATGGACACAAACGAACGCTTTTTCTATTCTCTCCTTTCTCTGTGTATAGGGTAACTTTAATGGCTTTCAAGCTTAATGTCTAAACTCAAATAGTTTTAATGAGAGCCTTATTAAAGTTCAGTGATGATGTTGAAAAGGAAACGTTTGATAAAATTTCGTGTTTGAACAGGAGAACGTGGCACAGAAAGAAGACCAGGAGGAACGCATCGCGACGCTGGAGAAGCGCTACCTGAACGCACAGCGCGAGAGCACTTCACTGCACGACCTCAACGAGAAGCTCGAGGAGGAACTCAAGAGCAGGGAGGCGCAGCATAAGGTATGCTTCACTTAACTATTATTACTGTTATAATATATAGAAAATATTATATAGTAGATGATATGTATATCATCATATTACTACTATAGTAATGTAAGTGATTTGCGCATTTTAGAATCATTGTATATTTTTAAACAGAGGCCTAGTTTGAATTTAGCTTTTAGCTGTTACCCGCTTGAAATTGTAAATAGGTAGGTTATATAGCTTATGTTTTTTATTGTAATCTTGACTGTATTAATTACTGATTTATCTGTGTTCTAGAATTTTCGAACTGACGAAGGAGCTGGACTCCGAAACGTTTTCTTCCATTTTCTTTAATGATACTATGAAATTTTGTGGAGTTTTCTTTGCTTTTAAGTTTTTAGTGAATTTGCAATTCAAGCAAACGAGTGACATTATTAGTAATGTAAGTAACATTATACTTTATCATAACTCATTTTGCTACTCCCTTCAATTTTTTGCCTTCGAGTTCACATTGGAAAAACTTATCGTTATGGTCGTTGATTTATGTGAATGATTGTTTGGTATTCAATTTCGTAGTAACTCACGGGGTTAACAGAGAAAAACACTTCCATTGCATCCACGAGCAATAATTGTTAAACACAAATTTTATTCAATTTTTTATTGTTTTCTAATGAAAGCTTTAATTTTAGCTGCAAGAGGACAAGACCCGTACACCTCCATTGCATCTATGAACAATAATTCTTGAACAAATTTCATTTAATTTTGTAATGTTTTCTAACGAAAGCTTTAATTTTAGCTGCAAGAGGACAAAATCCGCGCCATTCAGGAGAAGCTGGAGCTGAGCGAGCAGAAGCTGGCGCAGTACGCCAAGCTGCCGGACGTGGAGCAGGAGCTCAAGCAGCGCATGGAGGCCTTGCACCAGGTGCGACTTGCTCTATTTTACGTCCTAAATATGATAGGCCTACTGATCTGATCATTTCAGTGCGATTTGCTCTGTATTACGTCTTGAATATTATAGGCCTATTGACCTCATCATTTCAGGTTGTTTATCATCAATACTGCCACAAAATTTATCTCTTCATTTTTGTTTATCATCAATACTGCCAACAATCTCTTGTTTAGGTCTATGATATTGTAAGACTATTGATCTCTTCATTTCAGTTTGTTTATCATCAATACTACCAACAAACTCTTCTTTTGGGTCTATGATATTATGGGCCTATTGAGCTCATCATTTCAGGTTGTTTATCATTAATAATGCCACAAAATTGATCTCTTCATTTCATTTGTATCATCAATACTGTCAACAAACTCTTCTTTATTTCTTTGAAATTATAAGCCTATTGATCTCATATTTTCAGTTTGTTTATCATCAATACTGCCGACAAACTCTTCTTTATTTCTTTGATATTGTGAGCCTATTGATGTCATCATTTCAGTTTGTTTATCATCAATACTGCCAACAAACTCTTCTTTAGGTCTCTCATATTGTATGCCTATTGATCTCTTCAGTTCAGTTTGTTTATCATCATGATGGCCAAAATGATTCGCTGCAGGTTTTGTCAATCATTAACGAAAAGTTGGAAGCGGTTCCATGTTTTATTTCGATCAAATCTGGATTTGCGTTGCGTTCATTGTCCTCCTTGCTGTGTTTCTTACTCGATGCGCTCAGTCTCGTTCTTTGATCCCCAAAAAGGTATAATCCTCTTATCAATTTAGTTTTAAATTTCCAAATCACTTCAAAGACCGTATTTTTAATGCAACTTCACATTAATCACTACAAAGTTGTGATTTTCAAAGCACTTTCTATCTGATGACCAAATATCAAGGCATTCAATTGTTGGATTTTTAAGTGCCCTCGACTATTTCTCGTACCTACTACAAATTCTTCCATTTTTGACAAGTGTCTTCTAGTGCTGCTATCAAATTAGCTACAATTTATTCACTTCTTCCATTTTTAGACGCATTATTGTCTTCAATTCGTTGAATTATGACAAACCCCAAGAACGAAGCAGGAATATGGTATTTCTCAATAAAGATTGTGTACATTTTCATTTCAGTCAACAAATTTAGCATATGGATCAGAATCTCCGATATACTCATATTGTTTATGCCTGAGGTTCTGACACGAGGAGTTTGTTATCGTATGAGGTCAAGTAACTCAACGATTGCATTTACATGTATACATGATGATATGCGCTTATTTGAATATTTAATCTGCTTACAGTGCTTACTTTGAAGAGATTGTAATCTCATAAAGTCGCGCCAATCAACGATTGCACTTACATCTGTTCACGACGATTGCATATTTGACTATATTTAATTAACCTGCTTGCATTTCTCGCTTCATAAGCTCTTACTTACTATTAACTTAACACAGACGCAGGATTATTATTTTTTGGTTCGTTTCAATCACGTTTATCGGCTACATTCATTGAGATGTGACGTTTGTTTACAAGGCTATGCTTGAAATATTATTTTTATATTATCAATATTTTATTGTATTACGAATCTTGGTCCTAGTAACGTGCGAGTAGAATGAATAAATTGTGTTGATAATACCAACTTAAGAATAAAGTATTCATTTGTAGCTTCAAATGCGTCACAGATTTTCAAACCCGCGTTAATTATCCTCATGATTGCTTACTTATTCGACGTGAGTTGTTTGTGTATACATGGTGGTCAACTGACTTCTAAACACCGGTGCACTCATGAATTTATTTAACTAAAATCAGCTATTAAGAGCTATTGTAAGTTTCTTGCGCCTTATGTGTGTGTAATATTTCTTATTTATATATATATCAGCTTTCTCATCTTTATTCCCTTATATTGGATTTGAAAAAAAAGTCTTCCAAGCTCGACTCGCATCTTGTTTCTGCTTTCTCATACAAATGACCCCTAACGTCTCGTTGAAAACGTGAAGCGTTTGAACGTTACTTTCATAACTTTAGTTACGTTTTTAATTTTGCTAATCTTGAATGTTAATTTTCCCGAAAAAACTTACATTCATATTGAAGTGTGCGTCGATCCCATGTAATTTTCTACAGCACCACGATTCACCTCGCTGTTGTTGAGCCACTTAGAAGTGTCAATGAATTCGTTGCCTTAGCTGGTACAAACCTATACGCATTTAAATGGCGTCCTCCGCAATTATTGTTCATGTCCCTAATACTGTGTTTTGTGTCTTCTCTCCCCCTTCTCACTCTCTCCCCTCACACGGACTCACAATCCTCTTGGATATTGTAAACTTCTTCGGCAAGTCGAGGTCTTCTACTGTACTAATCCCTTGGACTGTTATGTTAATTCGTTGTTATTATTATAAGACCCTCCGACCTTCACGTTGTTATCCACTAATCCGCCGTAAAAATTGTGTCGTTCAACCTAAAATCCTCCACAATTCTCCTTGAGTCGTACTTCGATTGGTTTTTATCTCCAATACTGACCCTAAAATTGTTTCTAACTGCCAAAAAAAACGGACTTTTTGCACATCTCGACGCTTTGCACAACTCACTCATTGACTCTGATAACTCGAGATAATCATTAATCAATACCGTTCGCTTCATGGAAGTAATATGGATTCCATGTTACTTATGTGTGCATGAACTGCATTATTTCCTCCATTATTCACCAGCTGTTTTGTCATCTGCAAATTTGTCATCTAATACCTGAATGCTCTGTACCTTTTCTAATGTGAATCTTCTCCGTTGTCTTCTACCTTTTTTAACTTTTAACGTCAACGAGAAATTGACTTTTCACTCGCCTCATTGGGGGGCGAATGTGACTGCATGTTGTAACGTTACGTTTCAACGCTTAATTACGACTTTCCCTAACGTATCATTTTTTTGCGCATTTCAATTTTTTTCATTTTAAGTTTCCCGTGAATCTTCCTGAAATTAAATAAAAGAGCTCTATCTACTATGATAATCTATCATCTACTTGACGTTATGATATACATTTTAATTAAATGATTTCTTATCATTCGTTCCACTTTTATTTCTCTTTCCTGTTTAATAAGAATCATAATATTTGTAAAAATTTGAAAATTACCATTCAGTCAATATCTTTTGACAAGTCGCTCTTTCTCGTATTCATATTCTACATTCTATTTGAATTGTACAACGTAAAAATATCCTGCTCCGTGCCTTGCATATTAAAAAATATCAAACTATCCATTCCTGTATTTCCTTCACACTAAAAATTTGGAAAGTAATGCATCGCAATTACCTTGTGACTGAAAAATATCAAAAATCCTGCCTCGCGGTTGCCTTGTATTATAAAAATATTGCTACTATCCCCCCGTGGTTTCCTAAAATCACGCATGTGACCCTGATCCCCTGATCCCTCGACCCTGCCCTTACCTGATCCCCTGGTCCCTCGACCCTGCCGTTACCTGATCCCCTGGTCCCTCGACCCTGCCCTTACCTGATCCCCTGTACCTGATCCCTCGACCCTGCCCTTACCTGATCTCCTGGTCCCTCGACCCTGCCGTTACCTGATTCCCTGGTCCCTCGACCCTGCCGTTACCTGATTCCCTGGTCCCTCGACCCTGCCGTTACCTGCAGGTGCAGGAGAAGCACGGCACCGCAGAGGACCGCATACACCGACTGGAGGGTCAGCTCGATGAGAAGAGCGGCGAGCTGCTCCGACTTAACCAAAGACTTAAAATGAATGAGGAGCACAACGCTCGTCTCTCTGCTACTGTCGATAAGCTTCTTCAGGGTACGACATTTATCATAATATTTTATATGCATTCCTTTTGAAATTAGCATGAAGAAAGCTCGTCTCTCTGCTACTGTTGATAAGCTGCTACAGGGTACGACATTTTTCTTAATATTTTATACGCATTCATTTTAATTCTTTAGGGTACGACATTTATCTTAATATTTTAAACGCATTCATTTTGAAATTAGCAAGGAGAACAAAGCTCTCTTCTCTGCCAATGGCCATAAAATTCTTCAGGGTACGCAATTTTTCTTAAATATTTATACGCATTTATTCTGAAATTAGCAAGAACAAAGCTCTCCTCTCTGCTACTGTCCATAAGCTTCTCCAGGGTACGACATTTTTTCTTAATATTTTATACGCATTCATTTTGAAATTAGCAAGAAGAACAAAGTTCGCCTCTCTGCATTCTCGCCTATTAATTTTTCGGCAAAGTAGGCAATATATCGTTAATAGTGTATTTCATTGTTTTAGTATTTTGTCTATCATTAGAATTAAATTATTTCTAGAAATTTCATTTCTAATTTATTTCTTTTTCTAATATTATCATTTTTTGCTGACTTATGCGTCCGGATATATTATTTAAGAGTAATTTTTGTGGTGCAGAATCAAAGGAACGACTTCAAGTGCACCTCGAGGAACGCATGCACAGTCTCGAAGAGAAGAATAATCTCACTGCCAAGCTCGACAAGACGCGCAAAGATCTCGAGGATGCAGCCATGGAAAAGGTAACGAGTAAAAACCTTTAAAAAATATTTTGTCCTTTTTGGTGTGGGTGAATGAGTAAATTAATCGACTCTTACATACTAACAGTTTTTGTAATTTATTATGGTGTGTTTTATCATCTCTTGAATTTAATGCTTGATAGTGGTTGACTAATGATATGTAATGAATGTAATTTGGGATTTATTTTTTCAGACTGAGATCCTGAAAGAATTGGCTCGGCGGCAGGTTGACGCTGAGCAGCTGAAGCAGCAAATGCTACAGCAAGAAATTGCTTTTAATATAAAGCAAACTGAAGCACTTACCAGGTCCGTTACACCTAAGTCGTTTTCTTTGTGATAAGCTTCTAAACTGAAGATGGAAGGAGCATATTGGAAGGCATCTGACACATCCAATACACAATATAATATATAATATCCAATAATAATATAATATCCAATATATAAATGACACATCCAATTTTCATGTTGGATGCGTCCGCATTTGTGAATGCGGCTGATGCATGACCTGACCTGTTTACAACATTAACATTGATTTTTTTTAATGATACGCAAGACTATCCTTTGTTTTAGTTTTAATGATGCACTAGAGAACCTTAGCAGAGGCTAAATGTTCATAATAATACCGTAATTAAAAGCATATACCGTCCGGTCAGGTCGCTATCCCCAAACAAGGGTGGTGTGCCAGGAGACTTCCTACGTTAACGTTTTAGCACATGTTTAGCCTAGATTAAATGTTGATAATAATGTCCATAATAATACCTTAACTAAAAGCATATACTGTAAGGTCAGCTCACTATCCCCAAACAAGAAGGTGTGCCAGTAGACTTCCTTTGTTAACGTTTTAACACATGTTTAGCCTAGATTAAATGTTGATAATAATACCTCAATTAAAGCACAATGTACGGTCAGGTCGCTATCCCCAAGCATGGGCGGAGCTGTGCCAGGGGACTTCGTGTGTAACATTTAGCACACGATTGTACCCCAGATTAAATGATCATGATAATATCTCAATTAAAAACATACCATACGGTCAGGTCACTATCCCCAAGCTTGGGCGGAGGTGTGCCAGAAGACTTCCTATGTTAACGTTTTAGCACATGTTTAGCCTAGATTAAATGTCCATGGCAATACCTCAACTAAAAGCATATACTGTACGGTCAGGTCGCTATCCCCAAGTATGGGTGGAGGTGTGCCAGGAGACTTCGTACGCAGCGGCTCCCACACGAGTTTCGACTCGCGGTCTCTGCCGCGACACGCGGGCGGCGTTCCGGGCTCCCAGTCTCAGCCCCCGCCCATCCCTAAGCGACCTCCTACCCTCACCATGCCCGATGAAAATGGACAAGTAAAAACACAGATTCTATTTTCTCCTTTCTTAGTACTTGGTATCTATTAGTAATATTTTAATGATTTGGTTTTGAGTAATAGTTATTACCTGCATCCATCTTGAGATCTGTAGCTGCATGGGCGTGTCATCTGCAAATTTGATATCAATTTATCAAATAAAAATTAAACTAAACTTAACGGCCGAATGAAGTCACGTTCTTTAAAATGTGAATGAAAAGATTAGAATGAAGTATAAAACCGTCATCTCTGACCTTGCATCTTACATGTGCCTTTTGTGATTGATTGATTCATCATGATTTTTAGGCACTACAAATGTAATGTATTTACATAAAATAAAGTAGTTCATCGACCTTTCACGAAAGGAATTGTTTTATGAAAGGTCGTATGGGAACGACAAATAGGATGCCTCGTCTATGTATCGGTTCTCAGTGCATCGTGATGGATCTGGGATATTTTTAATATGATAGTTGTGATAAAATAATGAAAATAATGCTGTCATTACGAGTTTTGTCTGTGTTCTAGATGTATTTTGCACCATGCTTTTAATACTAGAGTTATTCGCAAATATGTGGAACACCAGATGTGCTAGTATTTACGGTATAAATATTACTGAAACGTAAAAAAAGATATAAATAATATAGTATTCACTAAATACTAGGTATTATATAAAGTATTGACTAAATACTATGATATTTTATAAAATATCTACTCTATGCTCTGTTATTTTATAAAGTATTTACTAAATACCATGGTATCTTCTGAAGTTTCTACTAAATACAGTAGACTGTACTGAATATTGTGTCCCTAAAAACTTGTTTTATAAAATATCTACTAAATACCATGGTATTTTCTATAGTATCTACTAAATACAGTAGACCGTACTGACTACTGTGACCATGTAACTAGAGTACTTCTACTAAATGCAGTAGACTGTACTGAATACTGCATCCATGTACCTAGATTGGTGGGCGATGGGGTGAAGGAGTTGGCAGTGGAGGTCACCCAGCGTTCCCAGGAGATGGGGCGGAGTTGGTGGTGTCAGACAACGACGTTGACGACGCAGAGTCTCTCTTCTCCCTCATCTCTCCCTCACCTCACACCGACGCTCAGACACTTGCTATTATGCTGCAGGAGCAGCTTGATGCCATCAATAACGAGATCAGGTACATTTTTTGCGACAATTTTAGATTTATTGTATTTATTACGCCGTGGTAAATCAATAATGAGATCAGGTACATTTTTTGTGACAATTTTAGATTTATTGTATTTATTACGCCGTGGTAAATCAATAATGAGATCAGGTACATTTTTTGTGACAATTTTAGATTTATTGTATTTATTACGCCGTGGTAAATCAATAATGAGATCAGGTACATTTTTTGGGACAATTTTAGTTAGATTTCGATTGTATTTATTACGCCGTGGTAATTTTTGATCAGGTCAATCTTTTGGGACAATTTTGAATCTTTTGGTACAATTTTAGAATTTCGATTGTATTTATTACGTCGTGGTAACTTTTGATCAGGTCAATCTTTTTTGACAATTTTAGATTTCGATTGTTTTATTACGTCGTGGTATCTTTTGATCAGGTCAATCTTTTGACACAATTTTGAATTTCGATTGTATTTATTAGGTCGTGGTAATTTTGATGAGGTCAATCTTTTTTGACAAGTTTAGATTTCGATTCTATTTATTAGGTCGTGGTAATTTTGATGAGGTCCATCTTATGTGACAAATTTAGATTTCGATTATATTTATTACATCGTGGTAATTTTGAATATCAGTTTTATAGGTGAAGGGATAATCTTAATATTTGTGACGTAATATATTGTTAGGTCGTTATTCATTTCAACATAAATCACGACTTATATTATTTTCAGAATATATCCTAGAATAGTCGATAATCTAACATTGTATTTCAATCTGAAGAATATTCGAATTCAAATATAATTGGCGGGAATATTGAGATTGAAAATTTACTGTGATGTACATATTTACTGTGAAATAATATATGTACTTCACAATATTTACTGTGAAATATTTTCTGTACATACACTCGTGCTTGACCTCAATGCTCCCGCATTGTTGTTGAATCTGACAAAAATTTAAACAAAGAAAATTGTCTGCACTGTGTGATATTTTATTATCTACTGTGGGCTTGCAAACACCTGTAAATATTCTGGCAATGTTGTAATTCAATGCAAAGAATATTTCATGTCAATAATGAATAAATGAACTGTGAGAATTGATATTAATTTCGGACGTGCAGACTGATTCAAGAAGAGAAGCAAAGCACAGAAGCGCGAGCGGAACAACTGGAGAACCGCGTGGTGGGTGGAGTGGTTGACCACCACATGATGCGACCGCCTGCTCGCCCTCCACTCCCACTCGACCACTCACCCCCACTCTCGGGGCGCTCCACCCCCAATGCTCAACAGCCTCCTCTATCTCCTCAGCGGGACTACATGCACAAGTATCACACGGTCAGTCAAATTGCCTTTGTTAACTAATTATATTACTCGTTGCTATATAAAAAATCTATAATTATTTTTAGCGCATTTTCTCATTTATGGAAAAAATGCACTATTGTGCTCGCCATGTCCGTCCGTCTGTCTGTCCGTCCGTCCGTGACCTCAAGTTTTCGTCGACGAGAAAAGGCGCTCTCTGTCACTCACTGCAGTGAGTACTGAGTTATATTTTTTAAGTATGATGATGTTGGTACGGTGTATGTATGTTGGTACGTGGTTGCTACACGTACACATGCCACTAATTATATTTGCATTAAACTCTCTATATTAGGAAACTATAGTAATTGATAACGTATTATTGGGCAAGTTTTGTCAACGTGTTCATACTGCACGCTTCACATCAATAACATCAATTCTATAAAACGATCCGTGCATGCACCGCATTGATACATTTAATTTAGGTCGTGTATCTTGATAGTAATGTTGATTAATTAAAATACAGATTAATGCATCATTGCGTTAACCTCAGAATTTTAACTTATAATAGCGGTAATAATTAATAAATGTTTCTGTACATTCTGTAAGTGTACAAAATATGAGCTTCGTATTTGCTGGTTTATGTTGGCCGTCTAGCACTACAATAATTATTCTAATAAATTGAAATTCCATTGTTGATTTAATCGTATGTTCTTTGTTAGCTTCCTTTGAACTCAATGTAGAGAAAGCTGCATTGTAGATTCCAATTTTGAGATGAAAAAATCTGAATTGATCCGGGAATTTTGATATGTGTTATTGATTTTGTCCCTACGTAGCTTACTTCGTGTTCGGTTTTATTGTATTGGCGTATTGTTTTTAGCATATTTTCAACTAAAAGTATTGTATTTATACTCTAATTTTTTATATCGGACTGGAAAATTTTATTTTTAGTTTCATATTTTAAGTGGGGCTGTTTTTCCCAGTGTGCTTCTAATGAAGTCATATGTCACACATCTATCTCATTAGCTATATTTTCATAGTAAATTATTTACTCTTCTTTGGAAGTGATGGCTGGGAGGGAATAGTTTGCCCTGATTTCAGCTAGATTTTTTTTTTCAATTGTTTTAAGAAAACATTGATTTGGTGGTTGGTCAGATAACTTTCCCTTAAAGCATAAAATGATTTTCATGTGCTTGTGGATAGAATTTTTTCTGACTGGGCTCTAATGGTGGAGAAATTATGTTGGTAATAACAACAATCTTTATTTTAAATTTTCTTCGAACCAACGATAGTGTCGTGTTGTGTTCTCGATGGCTTTTCATTAACCTGAGCGAAATTGTTGTTTTGTGTTATCCGTTTTGTAATGAATGAAAGTACATGTAAGGCACCGTAGGCTGGTGGTAGGATGATGAATGAGAGTACATGTAACTTTAGGCTGGGGGTAGGGTCATGAATGAGCGTACTTGTAACTGTAGGCTGGGGGTAGGATGATGAATGAAAGTACATGTAACTTTAGGCTGGGGGTAGGGTCATGAATGAGCGTACTTGTAACTTTAGGCTGGGGTAGGATGATGAATGTAAGTACATGTAACTTTAGGCTGGGGGTAGGGTGACGTAGTGACGTTCGCTCTGTCGTTGTACACACTAGGCCCCGGCTGGCATGTCCCCCTCCCATATGTACCAGATGTTCTCGGACCGACCACCGACCGGGGGTGCCTCCCTCCCTGGCTCTCAGGTAACCTTCCATTTGATGCCACTCCCCTCCCATCCTTACCTCGTTACCAAGTACAGGGTTTACCAGGAGTTTAATGTTTGACATGTTAGCTCTCGCTGCACTTCACGAAAGATAGTTGTACTGTTACACGAGCTGTAGAAATTTCTTTCTATTTCGATTCATAAACGTACATTGTAGGGAACTAAAGGGATTTTTCTTCGATCTTCGTTGGGAACGTTTCGAAATACTCATCGAATATTTGGTATTTAGTTGAACTGATGTGAGCTCAAAGAAAAACTGTTCGTGTTACCATTGGAGCCCAATTTATTTAGATAATTGAGCCACAAACGTTTTCTACGTTGAGTGAAAGATCTTTTATGGGTATCTGAGTTATTCTTTTTATGATGTACGAAAAAGTACGAATGTAGACTCCGGGTTCTATGTTCGTCAGTCGAATTATTTTCTTGTGGCGATTGCTGTATTAAAAATCGCTCGCATATTCTATATCAGCTTTCATTTGTTGAGATAATTCAATATCAGAATAATTTTATAACTGATTATATTTGGCTAACCAGATAACTGATTAATTTATGATCATAGACATTGACGAAAGTGCTCGGAAAAAAAGACAGATCAAAAATTTAAAACAGACGTTCCTGTGAAGCATTTGGTCAGGAGGGCCAGGGGCTATAAATACATGAGTCTCATGAAGTGATCCTTACCTTGTTGGTGTTAGGCTGCCATGACTCACCGCTATTTTACGCATGCTCATCTCTCTTCTGCTTTTTTATCTTTATTGTCTTCGCTCACTCGTGCTGCGCTCGCTGCTTTGTTTTACGTGCTAGTTCCTTCTTAGATAATATTAGTCATTGCTTTATGTTTTCAAGCGTAGCAATTTCATATTTATTACACTTTCATATACTTAATATTAATATTGCGACAGCTAACGGCATTGAAAAATCGTAATGATAAATACACCTCCTTTTCTTATTCGATGTATTCTGATTGGTACCATAAAGGTATTTTCCAACGTTAACGTATTTGTTGTCCTTTGATTTCCGTATGTCAACCTAGCTGCTCACTGTAGCAACGGCTGAGCATCACCGTGTGCCAAAAGTTTGTCTTCCAGTACTGGGATAAACCGATTGATGTTTTCTGACGAGAACTGTACTTGGCGACTGATGAGGCGGGAGATATTCTTTGTACTGCAATAATGAAGCTATAACAACTGTGTTCTTGTATTTGAGAAAATGCTTTCTGTGATAATGTGTGATTTTTAATGTTGTTTTAGTCCTATAGTGAAGAGAAAAGACTGTTTAGACGAAGAAAATTTGTAAATCGAATATTTTGAATGTTTGCTACCAATTATGTAGGTCCGGACTTCTGATGATTTAACATCTGTGTTGAATTGAAACTTAGGTTATATTTTAATTTTCTGTTCTGCACCGCTCTAGTGTAGGCACGAAGATTTATTACATATGTTGCTCTTGTTTTACTCACCGCAATTTAGGATTAATTTTATTGCACTCTGTTATGAATGGGTTAAACCTTTTGATATTGTTGTTGTTTTCTTGTATCAATGTTAGCAAAATTAAGGTTGAAGCGCCGAGCTTGCATCTATGATCCACAATATGATGACACAACAGTTGGAGTGAGAGCCACTGACTGAACTTATCTTGATATGAGCAGGCCAACATCCCCGGGCTAAACAGAATGGATGGGAGGGATGACGGCAGCCAAATGTCGCTAGGAGGTCCCGGCATGCACCCCGAAGGGTCTCCTCCGACACCCCGGTCTCACCGTCTCGGACCTCCTGTCGGGGGAGTTATGGGCCCCATGCTCACTGGAGGAGGTCTCATGACCTCTTATCCACCTAACTTGGCTGTGTCGTCTGAAGACCTACGACGGTACACGCCTATGCCGGACCACTCGCCTGCCACTTCCACGATGCCAAGGCTTCAACAATACCAGCCTTATTCGCCTGGGTCAGAATTGTTTTCCCTTTGTGGTTTGTCTAGAAGCTTAGATTGCTGTGTCGCATTGAATGAATGGCTTTCATGCTCTTACAGGACTTTGTGCTTGATGATTTGGTATCGTTTTTACGTTTTTTCCTTCAATATATGGTTGGGTTTAAAGTAACGCTGAATTGTGGTACGATTTTAAATGTTTATCAAGTCGTAGTTTCATTTATGTATAAATTAATAACTGCCATCTATTTTCGGTTTAATGTGGTGATCTTAATACATTTCTTGAACAATTTCTAAGGAAAGCATTAATATAGGATATGATAACTTTGTAAATTAATTTAGAATTAATTGGCCTCACATTTCTCATCTTTCGCTCGTTATGGTCTTTTGCTATGCATGACTGTCTCTTCTCGTTTGTAGTTCAGATTGAACTTTAAATAGTAAGATTTGATGTTCTTTGTGTGTGTGTTTTAATAATGTAATCCATATTGTCATTGCTTCGTGCTTAATGTGGCTTTTAAACTCATTATTTCGCCAAGTTTCATGAATAACAAACTATCTTGGTTCATCTTTCGTGTATGTGCTAAGAATTTCCAGTTAGAACAAACCGCTTGAGAATTATTCCGATTCTTTGGAAGATTTAACTTGACGCAAACCCGCGTATCTTCTACAGAGGGCTAAACTCGAGCCAAGGTCCGAGCTTCTCTTCGGGCAACCTGGCTCTCTCCAACCCATTGTTCAGGTTATTATAGGAACGCTGAAGGCTTCAACAATAATCACAACTTAAACCTTCTTTAATTGCTGATGCACCTTAATTTGCCCTGACACTGAGAGTTGTTCTACTTTCTCACGCACTAGATTGCTCTGCTGCTTCCGCTTTAAAGTTTTAGATGTTCTAACGCTGTTGCATAAATTCTATCATGACTTGTTTCTTTATAAAAATTAATGATGGTTTCTCCTGCTGATGTCCTGGGCGCTTGTTTCACATGATATTTTCTATGAATATAGAGGTAAACAGACACATTAACATTTTTATTCCTAATAATGATGTTGACAAATTTCATTAATTGATCGGGATACATTTTTTGTTGATGGAAGTATTTCTTGCAAGTAACACTTGAAATTACCTGAGAAGCAATTTTTTCAGATGATTGGAAATTCTTTTGAGTTTGATTTTGTTGCTGGCATTGAGAATTATTTTTATTTCCCGTAGAGTGTCTATCGAATTGACGAGGTAAACAATTAAGAGTTTACCTTATTCTGCATTATTTTTTACAAGCATGCATTGAAGGTTTTTCAGACTTGCTTCAACAATTTTGTTACTGTGCTCTTAAGCGATATGTAAGTAATAAATTAAAATCATATTTAGGTTTTGATTTCCTCTTTTGTAAGAGCTGGGAGAGTAGACACGTTTGGCCATTTCTGATATGTGAAGAGTATTAACTGACGATTTGCCCCTGATACTAAACACAAAAATGTACGCAATACTGCTAGTTCCGAAGCGCTTTTTAGTAAGAACTACTAAAAAGCTGTAGATTGTTGTATTTAGGCTTTGTTCAGTGTGATTTAAAATATTCATTTTAGATTTGTAAATACTCATTTTCAGATGTGATTTAAAAAAAATTGTGCATGCCGAAATGCTTAAATTTTTGTCTCATGTTAGTTAGGACTTGATGATAAATTTGAATGGGAAAATTGAAAATTTTTTATTATATTTTATTAGTTATTTTAATTGTTTTCCCACTAGTTCAGTTTGATTATTTCAACCTATGCTTAAAACAGAAAGTTATTTTAACTTCTTACTTCTTCTTATTTTGCCACCAGAACGCAATCACTATCCCATTATGAGCTTTTATTTTCAAAATAAGATTTTTTGCCTTTTGAAACTTTCTGTTGATTATTTTTTTTCTATGCGTTTTGCTTGGTTGGTTGGTTGGGTGTAGAGGGTTGGGAGAGTCGACACACTCAACCCCCTCTCCCCTCTCGTCCCACCACAGCAGCCAGGAGTCTTTGCACAAGGGAGGCATGGCGTCACAACCTAAGAAGAAGGGCATCAAGTCTTCACTAGGTCGTTTCTTCAGTAAGAAGGATAAGGTGGGTTGCTTGCTGCACCTGCGATTATATTTGCAGATATACAGAGAACTAGTTTATTGGGCACTTATTCAGTCTATTGCTGCACCTGCGATAATATTTGGAGATATATAAAAAGAATAAGTTTATTGGACACTTTTTCACTCGAGGTTAAAATCTAGCCAGAGTTTAGTCAATGTATTTTATTGAACGTTCTCATCATTTAGTTGATTGAGCTCGAGGTATACTATTGCGTGTAAAATGATCGGCCAACTTCTCTTGAGTGCATTCATTTTCGGTCGTTGATTCTATCGGTCTTGTGGTATCGCAATTTAGGATTGATTTAATATGCCAAAGAGCCGTTAATTTTTACACGATAATTGAAGAATTGGTAGCTTGGTCGCCATAACTTTCTGTATTAGTATAGTTATATAGTGCTCAGCGTTCTCTGGAGGTTTCAGTAATGCTCAAAAGAGTTTATTGATCAGCAGCAGCAACAACAAGTGAAAGTCAAAGAGGCTATGCAGCACGGAGGCTTCCATCCCGGCGCGCTGTACAGCGATGGCGACATAGGGTCATCTGACTCGCTCTCCCTGGCAGGCCTCGGCGGGGCTCAGAAGAGCGACTATGACCGCAGGGGCAAAAAGAAGTATGTTGCAGTCTGTCGCCTGTGAAAGAACTTTCGTTTTAATATGTAAAACTACAGTTTGCTTAAACTATTATTTGAAAATAAAAAACTTTCCTGAAATATTTTTTTAAATATAGCTTCTGGCAGCTATCATCTGCCGGGTTTTTGCTCATGTTATTTTGAAATAATTCGATGACGATAATGTGTTATTTTTTCTGAAGCAGCATGCCTGGCTACCGTCACGAGCTGCTGGCGGAGGCTATGAAAGCTGGCACGCCCTTCGCGCTCTGGAACGGTCCCACGATCGTGGCGTGGCTGGAGCTGTGGGTGGGGATGCCTGCTTGGTACGTCGCCGCGTGTCGAGCTAACGTCAAGTCGGGCGCCATCATGTCAGCTCTCAGTGATGCCGAAATTCAGAGGGAAATAGGCATATCTAATCCCTTACATCGACTAAAATTAAGATTAGCTATTCAGGTGAGTTGACACAAGAATGGGAGGCTTAATTTTTGGCGATCTTCTTCTTATTGACGCGTTCTCTACGCTCAAACCAATTACTCTGTTATTGAAGTAACGTCTTTTGCAAAATTTCACTGCGTTATCTATCACATGCTTTTAGCTTGAGTGAAAATTTCTAAGAAATATTTAATTGATGCCTCATCATCGGCATTTATTTTTATTGGATTGAATTCTTTAGATCGAGTGGTTATTTCCAGGAAATGGTATCCCTGACGTCTCCGTCAGCACCTCAGACATCGCGAACAACTCTTGCATTCGGCGACATGAATCACGAGTGGGTTGGGAACGAGTGGTTGCCTGCGCTAGGGCTGCCCCAGTACCGTACTACCTTCATGGAGTGTCTGGTAGACGCTAGGATGCTCGACCATCTCACCAAGAAAGACTTACGCACGCAAGTCAAAATGATCGATGCATTCCATAGGTGAGACTAAATGTTATGTGTAGATAGACTTGGTTATTTTCCACGCCAAATTTAAGCGTTACCTCGTCTTCGTTCTTTAGTGACTTAATGTAATAAATTTGTTGGATGTTTAAAGTCTCATTTTTAGTTTGAATTATCGAGTAAATTGAAAGGGTATTTTTTCATATTAAAGCTTTTTTTTGTTCGGGTGTTATGTGAAATTTCGTTTTATTGTTTGTGAGTTGGGTAACGAGCAAATAGTTATCGTTATAATACATAATGTTTATCTTAAATGGTATATATGCTTAAATTTTACTAGGCATTTTTAATATATTTTCTGTGGAGATTAGTTGCTACTGTCTGCGACAAGGAATGAGTAAAAGAAAATATTTTTTAACGTTTTATTTATAAGATTTTATTTGTATTCTATATTTTGTAGAACATCGCTGCAATTCGGCATCACGGCTTTGAAGAAGCTCAACTACGACCGCGTGGCGCTGGAAGAGCGGCGACGAAATAGCGAAGAAGACAACACCGACGTCCTCGTGTGGACCAACGAAAGAGTCATGAAATGGGTTGCTTCTATTGGGCTTAAAGTGAGAACATATCGGTCACAATAGTCAATATGTTATTTATTTCTAAAGTGTGAAAGTACGGAAACTATCAGTGTGTAAAACAGCACTAAACTTCATCGAATATTTGAGTATTGAAAGTTTGACAAGTCGTCCAATTTTAAACGTTTCCTAAAATTAAGATCATTTAATTTAATGCTTATTTTTCAAATTTCTTAAATCAATGTTGATTCGGCGACAATTCGTCCAATTTTTGACGCTTCCTGAAATTAAGATCATTTAATTTAATGCATATTTTTAAAATATGTTAAATCAATGTTGATCTGTGTGTTTTCAGGTCACGAATTCGATTGCTTTTACTATACTGACTCTTTATTTTATATACCCTTAAACGGTAATCATTCATATCCAAATTTAAACCATATAAAACTTGTGCAGGATTATGCAAATAATTTGTTTGAATCTGGAGTGCATGGATCACTCATAGCGTTGGATGAGAGCTTCGATTCCAACGCACTCGCCCTTGCTCTGCAAATACCAACTCAAAATAATCAGGTAAGGCCATTGATAGGATGGTTTAAATTCATTTTAGGCCATGACTCAATCAATACAGTCGATTTTTTTATCAGACCCAGTCCAGTTGACGTTGACTGGGCCATAAATAAATGTCGGTTAAATTTTTTTCTGGGCGTCCATCTCTGCATTCTTCGGCAATCAAATATACTTTTATTTCTGCTCAAGACTAGCTGCAATGCGATTTTCTGCTCGCTGCATTTTGATGTTCTGGCAAAATCTAATGAATTAGTTTCAGTATTTACAATAGAAGTGTTTTTTTTTTCAGGCCCGACAAATGCTGGAGCAAGAGTTCCGGAATTTGTTGAACAGCGGAACGGAACGGTCTGACGGTGGACACACCAAGTCTTGATATGAGGCACCGCCTGGCCAACACCAGGTCCTGGCTCGACTTGTCTGATGCTTCTGCACAGTAGACAAATCTGAACTTCATCGAGATGCCGACGAGAAAATTGCCGAAGTGTGGCTTGCTCACCATTATGTTCTGCATAGTAGCATCGCTATGTCAGGGGACGGTATGTTGCGTCGGTGTTTTCCCGCATGTTGTGCTACAGTCGGGAAATTTTACCTCGAAGTTGGTCCACATTCCTTTGTCGTGGTGCTATTTATCTTTATACAGCTGTGGTTGATGCCAGCACTTTACAGTATTGGCATATCATATGCGACGGATTAGCTCAGATTTGAATTTGTCGAGCTTCATTTTGTGCCAGTCTTCAACATATTCCCGGGAATGAACGGTTGGAGTCTGATGTTAATTATTGATGACTCTTCTCTTGGGAATCATAATACCTCTGCTGCTGTAATTTAACCAGCTAACTTAATTTTTAACGTATACTAATTTGTTCGTGATTTGTAAAGGTGCAGCTGTGAAGGGTTGCAGTCTTAATTGTTGTGCTTGTTGTTCCCGAATTTGAATTCAAATAGGAGATAATTAATTGCCGTGAATTACAAGCTTTTTAGAGTACGGAGGTTATGTCTTCATTTTATGAAATTAATGAAGTTTCGGACAATACTCTTAAAGCTTCCATAAATTCAATGCCAAACTTTAAAGTATGGACTAATGAAAGGAAGACTCTCCTAATGAGAAATTGTAACGAGTGCGAGCTTTAATTCCATGCGGGTGTTTTTCTGATGTTGATTGATTATAGCCCGGCTTGTGTCGATCTTTGCTGGCGTGATTGGATCTCTGTTCGTGCTATTGCTCTGGCCTATCCTGTACTCACCTTAATGCTAAGAACTGTGCGTTTGAGTTTCCTGGTGCAGTGTTGTAAAGCCACGAGTATTCACGCTTTGAACACAAGTAGAACAAGTGTATAGGGAGCACTGCTAGCGATTTCCAGTGGTAGACAATATTACTTGTTAGTGATGTTCACAGTGCTAGTTGGTCATTTTTTCGAACGAGAAGTGAATTTTCTACCGATCCAATGAGTACTTACTGAGTAGCGCAGTACGCTTTATTTGCTGCTCATTTGAGTTTTCTTCTCGATCTTATAATTTTTTTTGACGCGTTGTTTAGTTAATTTTCACTGATGCCTACCTCATTACTTCTTTCCTCTATTGTTGATAACACATTGGCCACATAGTAGCGCGTTTTTACTGACCATAATGAAGTGATGCTTAGGCTGAAATATCAATTGACACACATCACTGTAGAATAAGCGCTCACATGTTGAATCTATGTCCGTTCTTGTCAAGGTATCGTGCCATGATTATTTAATTACTTTTAGTCTTTAAATTCTAGTTGACGGTTGTCCGTGGGGCAGCATTTTTAACATCTATTTATTAATGTAAATTGTACATTTCTGTTACTCAAATTTTGTGTATTGGCGAGTTGTGGAGCTTGCAGGTGTGAGTGATGTGAACAGGAGTGTATAGACAGATCAAAATCGTTCTCCCGCTGTAGCAATTAACCCTGTTCAAAGTTCGTGTAACCCTAACCAAAGTTTTCTCTTGCTGCTCGCGGATCTGGTCACGCTACCAGAATTTGCTTTAACTATAGATATAAAAGTACTACTATTCTATTACTAGCAGTAGGTACGTGTTGTCTCTGCACCAAACCGTTGCTAGTTTCCCTGAACTTTCCTTTTATTGGGAAGGCCCACATAGCAGTAACATGCTTCATTGTTCTGAAGTGTCAGGTTGTAGTGGAGTTTATAAGAGACGTACTCAACCCTAAGTCGCTTGACATTCCATTCGTGTACTGCTATCGTTGAGGTAGCATGTGTATAATGAACTTCCTGCGACAGTTCCCTACTTACTCCTGTCATTTCTTACATGCTCAGTTCTGTTTCAATATCATAGTAGATATTTTATTTTATATAAATGATTGTACATATTTTACATTGATTGCTAGGTGTTTATAGCGCGCATCTTACTGTGTAAGTAGTCTTGAGTTGAGTAGCAAATAACTTCTCTGGTAGCTAACATTCGCTATCTTTTTACTCGTGCCTTCTCCTGCGAAGGATTATGAAGCTTGGAGTAATATCTTCCAGTTAAATGAAGTGCCATTCGTCTGGAACACATGATTCGTTCATACTCTCAGAACTCCAGAAATTGTAGGGTATTGCAGATCACAAATGGCACATTTTCACAATTAAATTTTGCATTGAAAAAATATGTGTATGCGAGTTTATTTGTCAACAGTCAACTTGAAAATGTGTCCGGCGCTTACTTAAAATTTCAATTTTATCAGAAGATTATTCTCGTCAAGAAGCAGTTCCAAGTTTTTTTTTTAGTTTGTAGCTCAAAATATTCAAGAAAGACAGTGATGACTGCATCTTCCAAAGAATTCTTTTTTGTCGCGCTGATCAAATGACATCACGAGATGACTGAAGGAGGTATCAGTAATTTCTTTTTTATCTATGAATTTCCATTCCTGAGTCGCAAGTTGTGTAGTACATGAAGTTTTGTAAACGAGCGTTTCATTCTAACATACATCATTGGCTCGTAAGATTACCATTTGAAACAATAGTAATCAGCACCGTTTTCAACCTTGGTTTCCTTGCATGATAAATTCGTCGATAGTTTATTCTCATATCAAACATTAGACCATCTATCCAATAACCAGCTCAGCATATAATGCCAGTAATTTTAAATTGCTGAGGACGTATTCAATTTTTTATTTCATCGTTAAAACAGTAAATCACAATCATTTCGGAAATGATCAACGTAAATTTATGCTTCTTTCTCACACTTTCAACCTAATTGCAGATCACTAATGGCACATCACATTTTAGGTAGAACCTTCTGCGGAAGGTTATGAAGCTTGGAGTGATATCTTCCAGTTAAATGAAGTACCTTTCGTCTGGAACACATGATCTTCCGTCAGTCTTGTGGTTCTACCTAAAATTAGGCGCAACGCATTAACTTGACATTAACTCGTCAATAAACGTACTAATTTTGTACGCAATCTTCTAGCTATTTAGGTTAAAACACTAACTCGCATTGATTTGAAATTTTGTTTGAACTTAAACTATTATAACAAAAATACAGTAAAATCCAAAATGGTTCAGTGTCTGGCAAGAAAGAATGCTTCAAGAAATCAACCTCTTGAATTGTTCATAGCCAAAAATGAGTTTTGGAATTTGATGAAATATGCCTCTCTGATTTTGAACACATTTTTTATGCCTACATTTAAAACATTGAACTAAACGTGTCAATGTATAATTATAAACATCTAACCGAATTGGAGAAAAAAAAATTCCGCATAAGAAAATTACGACACTAATTCATGACATAGCAAAGAAAAAACAGTTTGGCAAGAAATGTACTCCTGACCTATCAAATATCATACACTAATATTAAAGATAATAACGTTGGTACAATGAGACAAGCAGATCTGTTTCATCAAGACAATTCAACAATTATTACACAGAGACGACGAAGCTGAAAGTAATACAAAAAACACCACATTTGAGAGTAGCAAAAGGATCTGCAGATCAGATATATATAAAGCATATCTACAAGTTACCGAATTCTACAATGGCATCAATTATAAAAAATCTAAACAGATAAAAAAGTTTCATAGATCCCGTAAAAAACACTCAAAATCCTTCAGTAAATTTAGGCTGCTAAGTAATTGATTTGCTTCATCAACTAATGACGGGCCAAAAAAAATCAGTCGTTTCAGCATTGCTGAAAACTTTATCATACAGAATTGCCGCAAATAGGAAGCTTTTGTCGATTTAGTATCACGGGAGAAACATAATACTGCTCAAAGGCTTCAGGCACAGCCGGAATGCGATCAATGTGTCACTGCGGATAAGATCAGCTCATCAACTGGCATTTTTAGCCTCGATTTTCAGCATCCGGCCACAGACGCGGAATCCGCTTTCGCCAATAACGGAGACGTCAGACCTTATAATAACGACGCTAATGAGAACATTGTGACAGACGAAAAACTAATTGAAAATTATTGACAAGACTGGATTTAGCTTTGGAAAGATTTAAGTATCTCGATTTTTGGAAGCCCTTCTTCGTCACGAAACTTTTAAACTCTGGGTGGCGAAGTCGAGGCTCGATGAGTATTACATGATTTGATAGGACCGATAAAACGGCTCCATACATACCATAAGGCAAGTTTATGATGCATTCAATATTGCAGCATCATCGCTGGAGTCATCTTACAAAATCCCGTTGGTAAAATACTGGAAACCATCGTAGAGCCTCGTGGTGAGTGAATTGATGGCGTTGTCCACTAAGCTGTCCAGGTGGGCGCTGAGTTGTTCCTCCGTCATGTTCATATGAAAGCGACTCTTCAGCGCCGGCACCACTGAAGCACCAGCACGGAAGCATGCCAGTTTGCACCCTGCACAGGACACCGGACCAATGAGAATGTTCCAGCATCATTATCTTATTCACGAAAACAATTGTCCGTCCGCAGCGATCTCTTTCTAGAAACGTAGGCTTCAAAATAACATTGGCGACGAGGAAAAGTTACAATCAGTTGAAATTTCTTAGAAAATTACATCGAAATACTTCAAGAGAATTTAGTGCATGATAGATTTTGTGTGAACGAACTTCTACACTTTAAATGTTCTTCACACATCAATATCAAATGCGACCATCGTAATATCTAGCACATGAACTCTCACCCGAGCTCATGACTTCGACGAGGGACAATATTCTCTCGTGGTGTTTCCGCGCCGCTAGCATGCCTTTAAGTAAAAGTATTTTGAAATACTTGAACATATCAGAAGATTCTCCGCCCATCACTTCTACCAGCTCGGGCGTGAGTTTGAACGGAGACCATTCAAAGCCTAGGTTTCTTGGTGACGACGACAACATAAACCCATAATCGATGTGAATAATGTGGCCTTCGTTGTCCAGCAAAATGTTTCCGTTATGCCTGAAAAAAAGTAAGCAGGTGGAAAAGAGTAACTACGAGTGCTTTTAAAAGGTCATATATCATTTTGAAAACATGACGATTACATATAATTCTTATATGGTTCATTCGAGGTCAAATGATAGCTAAACAAATGCGCCACTCATCGGAAAATTTCAAGCAACAAATGTGTAAATAATTTAAAAGATTTATCTAGCTTGTTTTCATTCTTTCGTCGATTGCTTGTCAATAAAGCCGTATCGATGGACGTCTATAACATAAGCTCAGTTTGACCACTAATGAAAAAAAACGTATTTTCTTACCTGTCTTTAACTTGCACAATATAGCAAACCAGAGAATATGCGGCACATGACTCGACAAATTTGCGTTGGGCCGACAAAAATTCTTCTGAATTGCTGTCTCCAAACTCTTGCATGAAATATTCCAACAGAGACATCTTGCTGTTTTTCCTGATCTGATGTAAAGAGCAAGTGTTCACGATAGGTTCTATCAGCCCCGAGTCGTCAGACAAAACCAAGATCCTGAAATACACAAAATGGTGAATAATCTGACGAACAATCATTATGGTGCAGCGCAAGAAATCGAAAGAAAAAGCATCACATTGACTTGTAGGAACGGAACAATATAAACTTCAAGACAATATAGAAATTAGAAACAAAAATAGAACCAGTACATACTTGTAAGGCCTAAGCCAGAGGGATAATCCTTCTTCCTCCCACATCTTCTGGAACACGTTGAGGAGTTGATAAGCCAAAAGTTCTTGTCGTAAATCATCACCACACTTGACGATAACCGAGTGCAGTTGCCATGTCGGTAAATGCCCGTACGGTGAAGTTTCTCGAATTCGTTCCACCTTCCCAAACAAGGTAGAATTAGAGTTAAATGTATCTGCCACAGACAGGAACCCAAAACCTTATAATTACAAATTCACCCCTTTATATCAGTGTCCATTCAAAGTTGACACCCACACATCCAAAATATTTTTGAATTAGTAGCCCGCAAGGAATAGTTTTATATTTTTAAGGAATGAAAAAAATCTAAGCTAACATGATTGCTAGGAGTGAAACAGATAGAAATATTACCTTATCACTCCACGGCTCCTTTAACGCCGCAGCGCTGGGATCTTCGGGATCTCTCTTGAAGCCAGTTTTTGGAGCGTTGACAGTCTCAGAAAGTTTCCTACGGATCTCGGCTGCTCCTCTAGCTGAAGTTATGTCACGCGAGTCGCACGAATCCAGGGACATCATTGAGATGGTGTCACGGTCCAGCCTGCGTCCCAGTCCACTGTACTGCTGGCTGATCTCGTCATCTTCAGGACTCCAGCAGTCACCTTCTTCCAAGAAGCCTGTTGATTTTGAACGGAAATAGCAATGTTACTAAGGCTTTTGCTTTTTAAAAGAGCTAAATACCGTTCTTTTCACAATGGATTGACAAGTTGTAGTCAAAATTCTTGATTTAGCGGCGAAAAAATAAAGTTCTCCACAAAATAATTCATCAAAAAGTAATTAGTGATGCACACATTTTTATTTATAATCGATAAGAATTTTCACAGCCCTTCTTCTACTATTGAAAATAGAATGATTTCCGTTCACTTTTTTTTCGCTATTTTTGTTTCTTGATAAAGAACACAGAAAATAAAGTTTGGTAAGAATTATCAAAACGAATAGCGTATAGAAGATCATGTACAACAATCCATCAATGACGTAAGCACACGCCTTCTATTAAACCCGAGTTTGAATATTACGTTGTGATTCTCAGGATACACATAAGCAAGAGAATCATACCATAATCATGAATCATGATGCTCAACAGGATTCATGAGAGCCATTGATAAAACAATACAATACAAGGTGATCATAAAGTCTCGGAACACACAAGAGAAGTCTCCATGTTTCCTTAACGTTGAATGGTCGCAAGACCAAAGTTATGCTATTTTAAAGCTAACTACATCAAGTCTTTGTAAAGCCACCAATTTTATATTTTAATATAGACAAATTAATTAACGGCACAACACTACCAAATGTATAGAACGGTCTTGAAAGAATGATCACAATGCCAGTCACCCAAACCTCTAGATCTCACACATCTTAATATATTTGGGGGGGAGTTCTGATAGAGTTTGGTATATGTGCCCCCCACTTCAAGAGATGTGGATGAGCTGATGGTACAAATAACAAAAACGGCTGTAACCACTGACACTGCAATGCTGGGACGCGTTTGGCAAGAATTTGACTATCGCCTTGATGCGTGTCGTGTGACCAATAGTCCACGAATTCAACATCGTCAAACACTTCAATTACAAGCTACCCGTGAACTGTATATTTGAATTCACCCGTAGTCATGACATGAGGTGAACTGAGGGATGACGGAATTGAGGATGAAGAACCCAGTCCGCTGGTGGGGATGGTAGCAGAGGGAGTTGTCAGGTCCAGAGTTGAGGAAGAGTTTGACGCGGCTGGAGACAGCAAAAGATTCTCTTCTGAGCGAGTGTGTCGTAAACTGTGAGAGAGTTTCGCTTGCACCGGACTCGCCTCTAGATGCTCCACCTCAACGACCTCTACGTAGATGATGTAAGGGGCCTGTAAATAGTAAGATGTCAAAAAGAGAGTCCGGAGAGAATGACAAAACAGATCAAGTTTAGATAATGATGCTATTGGCAAATAGAACACAAGCAGCTACCACAGCTATAGGTATGAATAAATCAATGATTACTAACGAAATATTATTCACATAAATACCTGTTGTCAATTCTACTGTTTACCATAAAAAATATTAGTCTTTTGTTGATGCACCCAAATTTCTATGTGCAATTGTCGCCTGCATCATTAAAAAAAAATCTTCGCTAACCTTGTCCTTAGAGTTGAGTACAACCGCGGCTTGTGGCGGCACTCGCACGATGTGGTGCGGTCTGTCTGTAACACCCAACGGCAGGTAAACTCGAGCAGGTAAGTTCAAGTTGAGCACAGACAGCTCAGCCAAAAGTCTGGACGTCTTCGCTTCTTTTGTCGGCTGGGCGCTCAATCTTTTGCCGATGCTGATCAGAGATCGAACAAACTCGAGCTCTGGAGCAAGACGCGGGGCCTAGAAAAATATCAGGCACATTTCAATATCACTTTTAATCACAGCAATACCGTAGCATGAAACAGAACATGAATCTCGAGGCCTAAAAAACGTGAGGCTTTTTAATATCACTTTTTATTACAGGAATCCGTATCATGAAACAGAAATAGATTATTTTTAGTGCATTTTCTCATTTATGGAAAAAAGACGCTATTGTGCTCGTCATGTCTGTCCGTGACTTCACGTTTTCGTCGACGAGAAAATGCGCTCACTGTCACTCACTGCAGTGAGTACTGATCTAATTTTAAAATAGTTTTTGTGCGATACGTTCCGAGTATGATAACGTTCAAGAACAGACTAGATAAAGCTATGGTGAAATATATGTTCAAACTTGAAATGATGCCTAGCACCATATCGAGCCAGGTGGAAGTCTAGTAGCTATAGCAAACTATCGTCAGTTTTGAGAAGATCCGGTCGAATCACTTGTTTTTAGATCTCCTGTGGACAAGTCATGTAAAGTACAATAATCGGCGACTGGCCACACCAGGCCTATTCTTCAGCGCCGACATCACTATGACATGATATGATAGTAATGCAATTTCGTTAAAAAAACCTAAACTGTAACTTCATTTTAATCATCAGTGATGATTAAACAATGTGGCTGATGTACACATTGTACATCAGCCCCGACAATGTTTAGTCATAAGTACACGTTTGAAGAATAAGTTACCTCAAAACATTCTACATACACTGTCTTAAAACTATCGACAAAATTAGGTTATACATAACTCGTAAGCACGAACCTGCACAGAGGATAAGTACTTGACATGACCGTCAGAGCGCGGAACTAATTGATAGCACGTTCAACGAACAAGATTTTGAAATTTCATGCTTTTTAGCGTATTTTCTCATTCATAGAAAAAAGGCACTTTTGTGCTCGTCAGGTCCGTCTGTCCGTGACTTCACGTTTTCGTCGACGAGAAAATGCACTCTCTGTCACTCACTGCAGTGAGTACTGAGTTATATTATTTCTTCTTAAATAAGAAGGAAGGATTTTTTCCACCTGACATTACTTGAGGGTTTATGTGTGTGTCTTTAATTGTTAGTTAGTGTGTTTAAAGCCATTCGCTGCAGATATGTAGCGGTTCTTCGGGGCGCGCATCAAGGATACTTACCGTGTCGGGATATTACCTGGACCTGAAATTTCATTTTCAGTGGAATAATAGGAAATTATGGGAGGAAATGGAGGAAAATATTAGATCGAGAAGTGAAATTTTATTTCGCAATTTGTAAATTAAATTTGATTGAAAAGACGAAAGAGAGTTTCATAATATTTTTAAATGAGGTCATAATTCCCATCTTCTCTTTCTTTTTTTTTCTATGCGAGTCCTGTCTTCTATGTAACATTTGGGATTGAAAAGGTTTCTGTTTCATCAGAGTTTATAAGCTTAGTTAAAATTAACGGGATTAGGATGACAGATTTTAAAAATTACAGGATTTATCAAGCCTGGGAATGACCGGGCTAACCAGCTAGTTTATTAATAACATCAAAATTTCTTTCATGAACGGATTCTAAAATAACAGTGATGATAGGTCGTAAATTGTATATGAACATAATTCTTTATGGGGTGATTTCAAAATAAAAAATTTGGGAACTAAGCGTTGCCTAACCGTAGTGCACTTGTGTATATTGGCTTTATAACCAAAAAAATATAAGTAGCCTAATTTGGTTTCAAAATTGCAGGGAAATTGTATTCAAAGTCGAGCCTAGGATCAATGTAGATTATGAAACAATCTTCATTTCGAGATCATAGCTCAACAATTTCGGTTGCCTAATTTCGGATGAATTAGATGCGAGAAATATTTGTTATTAGAATTATAAAATAAAATGAATTCCACCCGCGTACCAAGCAACATGTCACGAAAATGACTCACCCCGCAATGGCAATCTATAGTTTTGCCGCGCAATGCATTGCAGCGAGCTTCTTCAGAGTCGAAGCAGCTGCATCCGTTGTCAAACGAACGACCGGAATTGAGGTCCCCCAAGCAATTCTTTGCACTGCCTGAAAAATTCATCTACTGAATTGAAAACATCACACAGAATCGTGTAAAAAGCCCATAACATTCAAACAAAATTATAACTAAGTGATCTAAGAAATTTTAGATATGCAATAAATCGGCGAAACACAAAGTGCCCATACAACGTTTATGTTGGTCCATTACATAATCAAATTAAAGGAAGTTTGTTGCTCATCGCTCACAGAAAGTGTTAATAATCTGCCGTGGTATGTACGATTAATAAAATTTATTTTAAATATATACAATTATTTAGAGAATAAATGTAAAGTGTATCTATTCATCTGATTACTAGAAAGTTTACAGATTACGCCTAGCATGATCAAACTGTATAAATCTCGACTCAGAAATCAATCAATCCACACTTGTCTCTGACATCATCAATGAATAACGCTAATATTAAGACTGAACTGACCAGCGGATGGGGTTCTCCTATGACTCTTATTATAAGACGACGCCGATGCTCCGCCAGATGAAGCTCCAGCAGTGACAGCACTGCCAAGAGCAACGGTGGCGTCCGAGCGACTTCTTTGGTGCGTCTTTCTGCCGATGTTGGTGGGCAGCATGCAGGGCGGTAACTTGGAGGGCAGTTCGGCGACCGGCGACCCAGGATTCGACCCCGGGCTGGGGTGTTCTTTAATGCGGGTAAATATGGACGCTCGATGCAAGGACTGCATTGGAGCAGATGGTCGGCAAATCATCCGAAACGTCGAATCACCGCCGCTCTTCGGTCTGTAAAAAATGTGTGTTAAACAGCCATCAACTACATCAACTTGTCTACTGCTGAAATTTATGCTTTAATTTTTCTAAATAGTATATTTGCGTGATTACGGTTAATTGTGTTCACATTAGAGACCATCCAAAACCTAGTCTGCTTAGGCCGGGTTCACATCATACTGCCGAGCACGTGTTAAGCATATGTTAGTAACGGCCAAGTACAAATATTCTTTAATGCATTTCTATGGAAGCATTCACACCAGCCATGCAAGGCACCTGCCATGCCCATCGTGTGACTGCTTCTATAGAAATGCATTAAAAAATATTGGAATGTACCGTGACTGGCATATATAACTGGCATGTGCCAGAACGAAACGGATGTGAACCCGGCCTCTGATGTTCGTTTCTTTAGTTTGTGCTGACTTTATATCCTACTCGTCCACCTGATATTATTTAGCACAAATAAAAAACAGCGAGAAAGATAGTGTTAAAATCTACATTCAGAAGTAGATTAAGATTAGAGTAATATGAAAACAATGGCGTATAGTAACACAAGTTGAAGGGAATCCTTTTCCTATGAACTCAAAAGTAAAACTCTGACGCAAGCCTGGCTCTTTTCCTCACCGAAGTTCATCAGAGAAGATCAGGTTCTTGAACTTCGTGCCGTGAGATTTCTTCCTCTGGAGCGAACTGTCTGACGAGAAGGCGTCAAGTAACCAGGCGCATTGCAGCGCAAAGACAGTGTCGTGGCGACAGCAGTGAACCAAAAATGGGTGCAAAATTTCGGCAACTTCATACGTTTGTACATACATGTTCACAAGCTGAGGCAGGTAAAAATATGCTTCTTTCCGAGGTAAACTAAATAATCTATTGCCAATATACTGCTGAACACCGGGTTCTTTACACTTATATAGATATGACACAGCCATGGACATGTCAAAGAGTTTACTTTCGAATAGCCTTAACAATAATGACTGATTTTCACTTATTCTATGGGTGGACACCTCCAGTTCAGTGGACGTATGTTCTCGCACAGGCACTTTCACACTAGTGTCTCTGTCTAACCTAAGAGAAAGAGGCAGTCTTTGGATGGCTTTTTCAAACTCGCCACTTAAATGACTACTATCTACACAGTCTTGAGCAGGGACACACTCCTCAACCCCAGGAGTTGTTGCTTTAGCAGGCATCGAGTCTTCAGTAATTGTAGTATCTTCGGGAGAAGCGTCTTCTTGCCCTTCGTTGCGCTCTGCGAAATGGAGACTCCAGTCTCCTTCTAGATCTCCTTCCATGCTGCTCAAAGCGCCGCTATCACTTCTTTTACTTTCACAGTAAAGTGACGGAGGCAAGCAGTCTATGCTGTAGGTTCTGTCAGAAGCCCCAGCGTCTCTAATTTCTCCTTCGGAGCTGCATATGCCCGAGTCGTCGGAGCCTAGGCTGGTCTGGTCATAGCGCGAGTGTTGGGATCGGATGACAGCAGTGACAGATTGCACAGCTCGCACCGGGCCTGGAGAAGCTGGACCGGTGTTGAGAATGCGACTTCTGCAAGGATCAACTCTGAGTTTGAAGCTCGGAGCATCGGAAAAAGTGAATGACAAGCTGGGCTTAAGCAGCGGTGGAGCTGCAGGAGGGAGCGGTGCTGGCTCGCTGCATTCGACTTCTGGAATTCGCTGTAAAACTGAATCCAAGCTTCGGTTGCGTTGGTGGTGATGGCTGGAGGGAAACGACGGTGCCGGAGGCAGTGGGGGCAAAATGATGCCTTCCGATCTGCGCATCGAGACAAAATTCTATGAAGCGCTCAGTAATAGTTTGAACTCAAACCGTGAACCAAATCTCACAATATTAAGTTTTCCGAACCATGGTAATAAGCGAAAATACGTGGTTCTAAACATAGGTAGTGAAAAATAAAACATTTGTATCGCTTTGTTTCACCAATACTTGACTGACGTTTATGAATTTAGAAAACAACTTATGATAACACATCTAAAGTGATAACATACATATTAATGATTATTGATAACACTCTAACCAAATTATAAACACATTATTATAGATAACCATGTCGAATCAGCTGACCTGAAGTCAAGAGACAGATTACGCTGGTGGTTGGCACGGATTTTCCTGACAGGCGGACCGACAGAATGTGGGGGACGGGATTGAGCGCTGCCAGCACTGAGTGGCCTCACAGCCCCGTGTACGATGGGGACTTCGTCACGCACGGATGCTTTAGTACGACAGTTGAGGGGGGACCGAGGTGGTGGATGGATGGCACCCTCCATGATGGAGGGAGACACGTGCTTCACTAACTGTAGAGCACGAACGTGCGTCCTTACAACTGCTCTGTGACCTCTCCAACATTGCGCCACACCATCACACAACCTGCAAACACCGCAACAATATTAGCAATAAAAACTAAGAACAATATATTATTGTTATAATAACAAACGTACAAGTAACTAGTGAAATGTAGTGTAAACATAAGGTTTACACATAATAAATAAATTGATTTCCATCTCGCATCGTAATTTGTAAAGTGACGAAATCGCGGCTATCGTTAACCTGAAAGTGCGTTAAAAAGCAAAACACACTACGACTGCACTAGCTCATCACTAAATGAGTGAGTAAGCAGAAGCTGCACTTAGACAGGAAACCTCGCTTCGATTAACTCGTCTTACGTCAGAAATCGACTTGGTGATGTCCGTTCGAGAAGCTTGCGTGCATTTTCTCGGAAACGGTAGTCGCAAAGTTTTAAAAACGTAATTGACATGAATCGATTTATTCAGTTTTTTTTTGCTTTGCTCAAGTCAAACACGCACATAAGCAATTGAGAGATTCAAAAATTTCTGTTGAAACTCGAGATCAAAATCTAGATATTGAAAATTGTGATTGAGTTTCGCCATAGCTATGCAGTGATGGAAGCATTGCTCTGTGGTGCATCAATATGTCAAGTATCGATATATTTTTTCATTCAAGCTTAAAATATTTTCTTCGGAAAATGTAATCCACTGGAAAAATACAAGAGAGGCCAAATACAGCAAGAGACTTATTTGAAGGCAGTTTTGAATGTTTTTCACAGTATCCTTTGAAAGTAAATATAAAAGTAACCTTAAAAGACAAAAAGATAAAAAGAACTGATATAATTTCACCCGTCATTTTAAAACGTATATAAGCAGCTGAAATGGAAATGAAATGAACAAATAAAAACAAGCGGCGTACGATTTGAAAAATATAATTGCGCATTTCATTATATGAGAATATTATAGTTGACTTAGTTCATATTTTGTGATCAGAACAAAGCAAATGAAGTGATGAGAGTAAGCAAGTAAAAGGCGAATCGATGCCAAAAGAAGTACACAATCGGTGCATGGTGCTTGTTTCGAGAATGACACTGCAAGTTTCACGTATAATTCTCGATGTGGTGTCATTGCAGCAGTCGGTAATGTATGTGTATCGTGTACACTGCATGGAGTAGCCATGGTTCCCCATGTCGAAAACAGTGCCGGTAGAAGTTGAGTTGCAATCAATTTTTCGAGCATAAGAGTCAACTTTCAATTCATCACTCGTGTTTATGAATCGAGAGGAGCATAGCGTACTATACGAAACCGTAGCGTGACTGCCCGCTATTGACATCAATTGCTGTGAATGAGTCTTGAATTGGAGCAGAAAGCGAGCGCACATACCAGCTTGTTAAGAGCTGCTACACGGCCTCCATTATCTTTAATATGTCTATTTGGTTTGCCAAATTTGTTGTAGCTGAGCGACGACAAATAATAGCCACAATGTAATGGCGCGGCCATTAAAATTTGAGTTTATTTGTGAGACGCGATTCAAATGAATAAACGGGAAATAATGGAATTTCATATCAGAACATCGCGCTAAAGTTGAATCGAATTTTATCTATCGCGCAAAACAATCGAAAATGAAAAAAAACCGGACATTTATCATGTTGTTCCATGAAGTAATAAATATGATGGTGCTGCATGACAATGAGATCAATTATTAATATCAAACTATGCCCCATTTCAGGCCAGGCTTAAATTTTCATATCCCGTTGAAAGTCGATCGTATTTTCTACGTGGTTAATTGAGTCCGTGCAAGAGCACTCATGAAATGATATTTTTCACGCTTGATTAATTGATTGTGCGCCGTTTTTCCAAAAGATGACAGAGGAATATTCGTTTTATATATATAATTGCTGTGAATACGTTTTCACTAGGTGCAATGTCTCCAATGCAATGTTTGCAATACGTATTCTTAATATAGGTGCAAGGTTTCCAATGCATTGTTTGCATTACGCATTCACTAGATGCAATATTTCCAATGAAGAGACGCAGTTTTTGTTGAACTTTCGGATGGTAAAATATCTCAGTTAAAGTACTCTCAAGAAACAAACATAGGCAGAAATTTTTTTTTGCGAAGACGATAATAAAAATACTAGAAAGCCAAGCATCGCAATTTTTCTTGGAGACTTCTATGCAATTTTATGACATTAAAAAGTGACTTTAAGATTCTTAGAGAATTAACTAATAAAATTTCTCAATTCATCTTACGATTTCACTGATCAAATGAGATAAACATCTATCTTCAGAAATTTTGTTTCTTTCAGAAATGTTTTGTTCCAATAAAAAGTACAATCTAACATACGAATATAGAAAATTTCATATGAAATGATTTACTATACTAACACAGATTATAAAACAAGCATACGTGGAAGATCTATAACTAACTGAGAAATGAACTTAATTAGCCTATATGAAGGTACAGCTAAGACCAAAAAGCTTCAAGTATTTGACCAAAAAGTACATGCGAATAACATGTTTTCAAGGTGAGTCGATGCACAAGGTTTTAAACGAAATAGATGGAGTTTGCGGCAGCTTCGTAACCATCACGGATAGAAACAGGTTCTTGACGCATCCTTGCAGCGCATTCTTGAGCTGCACCTGCTGCCTGCTACTCGTCCTGCCTCGATCGAGGGCTTCAAAACACATGGTCTCTTATTAGTCATGTAAAGAAAAATCAAGCTCATCACCTGCACTGCAGCGCATTTAGTTCAAAACATTTTGATACAAGATAAATTTGATTTAAAGCAGTACTTTAGACGACGATTTTAATTCAACTATAACAATTATAACATTGTTGAATATTCTAATACGGCAAGATACCACATTTGTTGATTGAACTGAAAGACAAGAGAGATCTAATTTTTACTATAAGTTGAAAATAATACTGAAATCGAATTTACTGAAAGCCATAAATTTATTTCTACCAAGTAGGATTAAATTAAAAAAAAGGTTTTAAAAATGTATAAAATGTCTGGGTTATACGCTCAAAATTTATTTCGAACAATCATCAATCAAACGTACAATAAGCATGAAATTAACGATCTCCGATTCTACTTTTTAAATATTGCAGCGTCTGATTCGTCTAACATTTCGTCTACGGAAACGCTAACCGTCGACCCTGTTATTCATACCTGAAAGCCTGATCGACAGCCAGAATAACCATTTATATAGACAATAAGGTTGGAGAACGAGCCCATATGTCACAGAATCTACGATCACTATAAGAAGCAATGTTGCAATAAAAAATATATTGCAGCGGCGCACAACAATTTTACCTTCGTTGGTCGTACAGGTGTTGAATGAACTTCAAACCTCACAAAGCAAGCTAATTAAGAATTGCCTTCATCACTATTCTAAAAAAAGAATCAAGTACTGTACGCAGTGAAACGTTTTACATTCATTTAGAATGATCTTGGAATTTGATGGTCATTGTTCAAATTCAGAAAAAAACGCGTTTTCATACTTGTACGTGCTCATTTATTTTCTGGTAGATGCCCTGAGGAGAAATAATGCAGATAACCTTATACTTATCACCAAATTTGAAAACACGTAGTAGCGTACATTGGTTAATATACAAGAATATTCAGTTATACGACACGTGTATGAAAAATGTAAAAACATAACGCTGCTGCAAACAATACACAGCCATGCAAAAGAGACAATTGGATTGGAAATGAAATACGAATGGAAATGAAATACGAATGCAATATAATGCAACGTAGGAGAATATATGGAGAATGGAGTAGTAGTATCAGCCGTACTGCACAAGACAGCCAAAATAGAATGGACTCTTTCACCGGAAACTAATGGCCTCGGCCAAGAGAAGAGGAAGTGTGAAAATCAACAAGAGAGGCCTTTCACTGAACCGACCGCACCAGCCACTGCTTTCAGCGCACTCTCAGCCAACTATCAAGTCATTCATAAAATAATAGGAATTTTAACAGAGAAACACAAGTACAGTTGCCAGAAAACCTAATGAAGTAAAATGTTTTCCCCAAGCTAATACGCTAATTGGAGACTAATTCTGTTAACAAATGCAACAGTCGTGCATCAAGGCAACAGCCGTGCATCAAGGCAACAGTCTTGCATCAAGGCAACAGTCGTGCATCAAGGCAACAGTCTTGCATAAAACAACAGTCGTGCATCAAGGCAACAGTCGTGCATCAAGGCAACAGTCGTGGATCAAGGCAACAATGTCGATTGTACGTCCTGTGTCTGGTTGTTGTGATAACGAACAGGCCAAACCCTCGATGGACGATAGGCTACGCGGATCAACAGCGAAATACCCGCTAGATTCTGTAGCTTACCAGGCTTATATTACTTTCAGATTTAAGCAAAAGTCTGAGGCCGCCAAAATTTCTGCATATTCTTGATGAACTAATAGAATACTGCACAAATAGATTGTGTCACAGTATGCATTTTGTAATAAACGCGCCTGAAGGAAGTAGAAACATTCTGCGACATCTCAAAGTGTATGGACACAATACAATCCTCTACCGTTATCAACACACACGAGTGATCAAGCAATTAAAGAAACCAGACCATACGGTCTTACTGATAAAACGCTTTTTGAACTACTTGCATAACATTTTATGTTCCCAAGAAAGACTCAGCCCCACTTGTCGAGCTTAGAATTTCACTAACTTGATCGTTAAGCAGAGATGATAGATAATTAAGAATAAAAAATTTCTAGTTAGATTGATTACGACATCAAACTAACGAAATCATTTCCTCCTCCAATTAATTATGCTTACGTGTGGATGATTCAGAGCAGGTCACCGATTAGAGTATAAATTTTAAAGGATAGAGAAACTTGAGTAGGATGAACGTGGGCAGCTGCAAAGGTAGGAGGGAACCCATTTACATGAGGCCTCCTACTCGTCTATTCACTGGAGGACGTATTCTGCAACTAGAGCGTTGCGTTCACTCCAGTAAAGCTGTGTTTTTCGTTCGTCTCTAACAACGTTGAAGCGTTGTATAGATTTCAACCGAATTCGTTTCAGATCCATTTTCTGTGATCATAATAATGAATGTTGA